AATGAGGAGGTAGCCAACAGTGCCAACGTAGCAGCTGAAGGAGAATGCAGATTGGTGATAAAGAAAGTCATTGGCTGAAATAACATCAGAAAACCTTTATGGAAGTCCATCAACATTTGGGATTCCCAAATTTTCAGGAAAAAAATTTTTTTCTGAACTTTCCAGAAAAAAAAAAAATGTTCTGTGCAACTAAGGAGGTAACTCTTGTACATAAATTCTATTTGGCCCCAAATACCACTACCTATTTAATATTGAAAGAAAAATATGCTAGAATACATAGATTAAGTAACTGTAACAAGAACAACAACAAAAAAATGGTTGGTTAAATAAGTTTATTTTTCTCTCACAAAATAGTCCAAGCCTTCATTGCCTTGAAGCATTCAGGGGCCCTGTTTCCTTCATCTACTTGCTCTGTTCTCTTAGGGTGTTGTCTTTGTAATCAATGCTGGCTTTGTTTCAACCATGTTTTCAAATGAGCCCAAAGGAAGCAGGAAAGACTATTGAGGGCAGGAGCCTTCGTCTTTAAGGAGATGACCTGGAAGTTAAACTCATCAATTTTTTTTAATTTTAATCTTTTTAAATTAATTAATTCATTCATTTTTGGCTGCTCTGAGTCTTCATTGCTGTGCGCGGGCTTTCTCTAGTTGCTGCGAGCGGTGGCTATTATTCATTGCTGCGGTGCACGGGCTTCTCATTGCGGGGGCTTCTCTTGTTGTGGAGCACGCACTCTAGCCTAGGCACAGGGGCTTCAGTAGTTGTGGCACGCGGACTCAGTAGTTCTGGCTCACAGGCTATAGAGCGCAGGCTCAGCAGTTGTGGCACATGGGCTTAGTTGCTCCACAGCACATGGGATCTTCCCAGACCAGGGATCAAACCTGTGTCCCCTGCATTGGCAGGCAGATTCTTAATCACTGCACCACCAGGGAAGTCCCAAACTCATCAATTCTGCTCACATCTCATTGGCCTACAATAGTCACATGGTCACATTTAGTTCAAAGGTAGGCTGGGAAGTGTGTGCATGGCCATCCAGCTAATATTCAGGAGAAATGAAATGCAAAGTGGAGGACAGTTAGCAGTCTCTAGCACATAGGATCTGAAAGAAATAGGTCTTTCTTCATAAAATAGGTTTCTTGTAGGATTTAATTACTTTAATTTTTATAGAAAACAAGCCAAAATGCTATGGGACAATGAAGCCCAGACATTTTAGGTTTTTCTATTTTTTAATTTTTTTTTTTTGCAGTATGCGGGCTCTCACTGTTGTGGCCTCTCCCGTTGCGGAGCACAGGCTCCGGACGCGCAGGCTCAGCAGCCATGGCTCATGGGACCAGCTGCTCCGCAGCATGTGGGATCTTCCCGGACCGGGGCACGAACCAGTGTCTCCTGCATCGGCAGGGGGACTCTCAACCACTGCACCACCAGGGAAGCCCCTAGGTTTTTCTATTTTTGTAAAGGATTTTATAAATTTAAAAAAGAAATTCCACTTACTGGCAACTTAGAGAAATAGTAAAACCATTAAGGATATTAAATTAGTGGTTATTTTAATGAATTATTGACATACGTTCTATGTCTACCTAGTAAAGAGAAACAATGGAGTGTTATATCTGTAATACTTATTAATTGCTATATAACCAATTATTCCAAAATTTAGGAGCTTAACACATCAAACATTTATTATCTCACATAGTTTCTGAGGTCAAGAATCTCAGAATCTCAGAATTAAGAATCTTAGACCTGGGGATTTCCCTGGTGGTCCAGTGGTTAGGATTCCATGCGTTCACTGGCAGGGCCTGGGTTCAATCCCCGGTCAGGGAAAAAAAAAAGAATCTCAGACTTTGGCTGGATGGTTCCAGCTCAGGGTTTCTCATGAGGTTGCAGTCGTCTGAAAGCTTGACTGGGTTGGAGGACTCACTTCAAAGGTGACTCACGTGGCAGTTGACTGAGGCTCCAGTTCCCCACCAAGAGAACTTCTCTGTAAATTTGTCCAGGACCCATAGCAACCAGCTTCCACCAGAGTCCCCCACAAGACAGGGAGTGTAAGAGAACAGCAAAATGCCAAAAGGGTCTCTTATTACCTAATTTCAACCATGATGTACCATCACTTTTGCTCTATTCTATTGATCAAGCAGACCAATCTTGCTATAAGGTGGAGGCAATTATACAGGAGTGTGAATACCAGGAGGCAGGGGTCATTGGGGGCCATCTTTGAGGCTGGCTACCATAACACCTAACCTGTTATTGGAAAAAAATCTGCAGAAAATCTACCATTTTTTAGAACAAAAAAATTCCACTGGATACACTTATCTCCAAAGTGTGTCAGAGCAAACAAACGGACTTGAGGTATTTAACTGTGTACAAGTAAAAATGTCGACACGTTTGCATAAGATGACTTTAATTCCGTTAGGTTCTAAGGAGCGTTGAATCCTTCAGGTTATATTTGATTAAAATGTCTGTTCTTCACTTTTGCTAATCAGAAATGGCTTCCTCAGAGGGAACATCGTCAATCAGATGTGGTTTCTTGAAAAGTTTCAGCGGTTAATGTCAACAAGTGAATTTGAAAGCAAGTGAATTTCTGTAAGTATTGGTCCAGTTTAAAGTCATAGGATCCTTTAACATTGCCTAAACAGTGAGCTATATTTGGGGATTTGGCATACAGAGGGTCTGTCTTGGATCAGGTCTCAAAATACCTAAAGGATTTCCTCAAACAGGCCCAGGGTCAGATACAACAGGTGTTTTACTTCTAATTTTGGAACCCAAAGCATCCAGTTTAGAGTGAGGCTGTTCTGCACTCCTTCAGTAAGAGTGAGGATAATAAGTAATTTTGCCAAGACCTCATGTGTAGAAAAGACTGGAAATGTGTTATTCTTCTAATACTTCTGATAACAAACCACATTTTTACAAGATAACAAAGAATTGCGATGAATTCTGATAAAGGCCTCTGTTTTCTTAGTATTTAATAATTCATTTTAAAAAATATCAAAAGTCAACTTTAGTGCCAGCCAGAATACTTTTCTTTTTAAATTAATTAATTTATTTATTTTTGGCTGCCTTGGGTCTTCGTTGCTGCGCAGGGGCTTTCTCTAGTTACGGGGAGCGGGGGCTACTCTCTGTTGCCGTGCTTGGACGTCTCATTGCAGTGGCTTCTCTTGTGGAGCACGGGCTCTACGTGCACAGGCTACAGTAGTTGTGGCACGTGGGCTCAGTAGTTGTAGCATGCAGGCCCAGTAGTTGTGGTGCATGGGCTTAGTTGCTCAGTAGCATGTGGGATCTTCCCGGACCAGGGCTCGAACCCGTGTCCTCTGCATTGGCAGGTGGACTTTCAACCACTGTGCCACCAGGGAAGCCCCAACCAGAATACTTAAATGATCATATCCATTTGATTATACTATTAACAGTGAATTACATTTTTGCAATGGAAAATAGAGACATTGTAGTGTTAATGATGTATTTGGTTTCCTTTTCAAAGTATTTCAAAGGAATTTGGGGGCTTTAGAAAATGGTGATGTTACATACATTATTAAAAATATATGTATGTAAGCACATTGAAATAAGATTAAAATATGGATAAGGCTTAAAATGGAAAATATTCTTGAAACACTGTTAGCCATTCAAAATGAAATTATTGTGCATATAAAAAATGAGCAAAGCTTTTTGAATGACTTCTAAAAAAATTGGAGCAAATGTAATCATGAACATTTCAATTACAAAGTAAGGTTTGATAAATTTTCAAACGTGAAGCCCCTGTCAATATGTTTCTAATATATCCTCAAGATAATTAGCAGTGCAATCTTAGCATGCTAGACACAGTAGATTTCCCATAAATACATATTGAATATGAGATAAGCTTCAGAATTCTTATTGAAGGAATAGTAACATAAATATTAGGAAAGGCATAGCTTTCTTTTGGCATATCAGAAAGTCTGTTGCTTATTAATACTACAGAATCTACTCATTTTAAGAATTCAATATTTAAGCTCTATAGTTTAGATATTACTTTACTTTCAATTTTTCTGTGGGTTTATAAGGCAAGCCATATTTAAAAAAAAAAAGAAAAGCAAGCCATGTTGTAGGTAGTAGCAATACTACATAATTCTTTTTGAGTGGAATGAAAAGTATATGCAATGTATATATTTTTAAAGAAAGAAAAGCAACAGGTTTGACTTGAAACTAGATTTTTCTAAAAGTGATTCTGAAGTGTTTATTTCTCTACAAAATGTACAAAATTTAATAATGGGACAAGAAAATTCATTTAGGTTAGAATACTTTTTTTGTATTCTCTAATACAAAAAATTGGATACTGAATCTTTAAACCTTAAGAAATCAAATTTAGAAGTTCAAAGGAAAGTGAATATGGGAGTCATTGTTTGCACCAAGTACCAAAAACAAATTTCTAAAATAGAACTTTCGGTAATTTGCACTGGGCTCTCACCATCTGGCCTGCCTTGCCCCCATTCCAGAGCCTGTCTGACCACATGTCTAAACCTACAGAAACTCTCCAGTCCCCCCAGCCCCATCCTGGCGCACCATGGCCTCAAGGCTGGAGTAGATTTTATGGTTAACCATGTCTTTAAATGATTAGGACACCAGATGCTGTTGTACTTTAGTAAAAATAAAATTCTGGTGTCACAAAAACATGCTGGATAAATTCTAGGTTCTAAAGCATATATTGTCATTCAACTTCGTAGGGTGGGAAGTTGAACGGGAATCCTCCAGCAAGCACTGCTGGAACCCTGGGCAAGTCCAGCACGTTATCAAGCAATTACGAGATGAATTTTTCAAGAAAAAATATTTAAGTTTTTCAGACCGGCGACCATCTCTTTGTGCCGGGGTGGGCAGCTACAGTGGCACGTTGAACCAAAATGTCTGTGGGAAAGAAATCATCTTGCTATAGTGCACGAGCTGTACATCTAATCTCTAATAGGAATCAGCAGGCCACGGTTGATTTATGGACAGCCTGTGTCGCCCCGCACGGTACCAGTTCCAGGAGCCTTCGCCAATTAGCTCTATTTTCTGTTTAAGCCGTTAAAGCCACCTCCATGGAAACGCCAGGAGAAGAGGCCGGGGAGGGGAGCAGACAGGTGCGCCCTCTGTTTGGAACTACACAAAGGGCCGACCCAGCCAGCCTCAGTGTCCCTGGCGACTCCACGCACGCAGGGTACGCGCACTTCCCGCGGCCCCGCGGCGCAGTGGGCGGACGGCCGGGCGGGGCGGCGCGCGCAGGTTGCTGCGCGTCGGCTAGCTGAGACCCTCGGCCTGCTCGCGGACGCTGTGCCCGGAAAGCTCGAAGCCGGCTCCGGACGGCTGCGGCGGCGCCCGCGCTGTAGGGACTTGTAGTCCCCGTGCCTCCCGGGCGCCTCCCCCGGGTAGGCCGGCCGCGCGTCCCCGCCCGCCGCAGGCCGACTTCCTGCCGCTGGCCAAACTACACCTCCCGCCGTCCTCTCCGCTGTCTGGCCGAAAGCGAAAACAAAATCTGGGCTGCGAGCGTGCTGCCCTCCGCTGGGCGCCCCCGCCCGCTCCCCGCCCCTCCGGCGCCCTCCTGTGAGGTGGGGAGACGAAAGGCCGCGTCTTTCTCTTTCGGCTTCCTCGGCTCCCGGTGTTGGGGCCGTAGGCCTCGCTTCACCTGAGCCGGCTCCGCGCGCGCTGGGGCGCGGGGCTTTGCTCGCCTCAGCCGGGTCGGGACAAGGAAACTTGTGGGGGCGGCGACCACCGGGCGCAGTTGCTGAGCCGGGCGGCGAGGCCGCCGGGAAGTGACTCCTCGCTCTCGGGTTTTCGTGAATTTCTTCCCCGTTGCCCCTGGGCGCGTGGGCCCTCGGGAGGTGGCCGCGTGCGCCTGGCCATGCATTAGGCAGGGCTCCCCTATGCGCGCGGACCGCTGCCTCGGGCCGCCGCCTGCAGCCGCTGTCGCGTGCCCAGCCCGAGCCCGAGCCGCCGCCCGCCCCAGGCCGGGGCGTCGAGGAGCCGGCGGTGCGGCCATGTGGGGCTAACCAGCGCCGCGCCGGGCCTGCAGCGCGACCGGCAACATGGAGGCGGCCGTCGGCGCCCCAGACGGCGACGACCAGGGCGGTGCGGCGCCCCGAGAGGACGCGACGCCCATGGACGCCTATCTGCGGAAACTGGGCTTGTATCGGAAACTGGTCGCCAAGGACGGGTCGTGCCTGTTCCGGGCCGTGGCGGAGCAGGTAATGGGGCGGGGGCCGGGCGGGGGGAGGCGGCGGGGCCGGGGGGGAAGCGGCGGGCGGGCCGGGCCGCCTACCTCCCGGGCTGCGCGTGGCCCCGGCGTCCTCACAGCGGCCCATTGTCGCGCCGGAACCAGACGCTGCTCCGGGTCTGGAAGCTCTAAATCGAAACTTAAAAACCTGTAAATTATCTGGGTGTCGTCCCTCCTGGCGAAGAGGTAATGAGTTGAGGCCAGCCCGTGAGGTCTGCGGAGAGCCTTGTACCCTTGCTTGATGGCTGGCGACAGGGCGAAATGTTCTTTTCTCCTCCTCTTGGTTTTGTAACCACAGAGTTCCCACCAGTAAACCGAATGTTTCCTAGAGGAGGTGGTGCACCAGACTTAACTCGCGGAACATGAATTTTTTTCCTGTTGCTGGACTTTGGAACGGCGGGGAGCCAAGCCCGCCGCTGTCAGCCTGAATCAGAAGGGGGAAAATGTACAGTTTGGGAAAGCCAGACTTGGGAAAAGGTAGAATGTTTGCAAAGAATTGCCTTTGAGCAGACTCCACTCTTTTTTTTAGTGCTCTGCAAGGCAGTGTAGGTGTACTAAAAATAATTGACTTAAAAAAAAAAGGCTGTTTTGGAGTTGGTAGTAGGAAGGAAGGGTATATCTGGAGTTCTTTAGGCCCTTGGCCGAATTTTTCCCCCTTAATAGTCAAAATCACTTCCTAACACAGTTCTTGGGAGGATGTTTCTGATTTTTTTTCTTTTTTTTTGGTAAGAGAGCTTATTCCCTGTTATATAATACTGTAGTTGGTAGGTATGCAGTCAGCAAAACCCATCCTGTATTGAAAAATAGCTGTTGAAATAGTTGGACAAAAGTTTCACATTACTGCCCTGGTGTGTATTTCCTACCGTTCACAGTTTGCTTTCCTTTGGCCTAAGGTCCACCCCTCCTGTCTCCTCCCCGCCTTTGGAGTTTTTCTGTTTCTCTTTCTCTCACCTTTTTTGAATGCTAAGTAGCTTTCACAATGTCTAATTGTGAGTAAATGTTTTACTTAACATCTATAGACCAGTCTATTCTTATTTTTTTCAATATCCAAAGGCCAGCCATTTATTTTCCAAAGGCCCTCATTTTCACATTAGTAGCATAACATCATTTTATTTTTAAACAAGAAATGGATTTAGCAAAGGTCCAGACCTTTGCATTTTGTTGCAGGCATTGTCATTCAAACATTCTTCTCAAAGCTTCCCAAATCGAGCTCTTTTTTAGTTCAATAGATGTCTCTTATTTTTAGAATTTTAGGATGTGCTAATGTTGCTTTGGGATATGTTCACACAAACACATCCCAGTCTTTACTATCAGAAGGTAAACAGTCTGTCCCATTCGTGAGTTTCCTGGATCTCCATCTGTCCTGCTTCCTCTGCCTCAGCCTCCCTGGACTCCTTAGCACCTCCAGAAGCAGAAGGAAGAGGTGGAAGTGAATTCAGTCCCTATTGATACATATTGTTAGCGCTAGCAAGAATTTGGTAAGGAAGGAGGGGGAAACAAATAGAAATAAGGGAAGTATGGTGTTTATTTGGAGTTGGATTATCTACATCCTAGTTTATGCTGAAGCAGAAAAGTGTGTCTGGTTTCAGTACTACATGCTGTAGATAATTGGCAAACTTGATTATACAGAATCTCTCTTTTTTTTTTTTTTTTTTTTTTTTGGTGCCAAAGGTAATAGCCTTCATGGCCAAAGGCAGTGTGTGCGTTGCAGGGGGAGGTGGCGGACAGTAACAGCAGCCTCAGGCTGCCCTTTAAAAATGTGTACAGAGGATTTACTTTTTTGCCAACGATTTCTCCAATAATATCAAAATAATTATAATTTCTAACAAGGAGTCACAGTAAGTAATCTAAATGGCGGCCTTTGGGGGGGGGAATGGAGAGGGAGAGACTTGAATTAGCAGGAGTCTTTCCCTCCAAATTACCTGATTTAGATAGGCTCTTCCCTTTTTACAGTTCTGGACGTGGGCCTACAGGAGGCCTGACCTGAATCAGCTCTGTGGCCCTAGAACTAAAAATAGGGCGCTCTTAGAGGACTTGGAAAAGCAGTGCGTCCCGGCCTTTCTCAGTGTTTATCACCGTCTGCCCTAAGTAAAGATGGGAAAGCTTCCTATTTCTAGCTTATTTTCATGTATACAATGATTTGCAAAGATATTTGTCATACCATTTGAATTCTTCCTGAGTGTCCTTGAACTTGCACAATATTATGCTTTTTAAACAGTTGTCATTTAACCTTGTTTCTCTTAACAGTGCTTGGCTTTGTAAAGCCCGGGCACCCCGCACTTGATCAGAAGTTGCTGAGAGTTTTGCTTCTGAGTAACAGGTTCAGATTTCATGTGCTAATAAAATCTTTGTTAAAAGAGGAGAAAAAACAAGAGATATGCCTGTCATTGTTTTTGGTGGAAAATAAGCTTTATTCACTTATGTCTGCCACCTGTTGCTAGGTAAATGGCTTTAAGACTAGCTCCACTTTACTAATGGCAGGAAAGCCTGATCGGATGACACTGTGGTTTACTCAGACTAATACGTTGATTCATAATAGTGTCTAGCATAGCTTCTGTGAAGGAAGTGTTGCTAAATTGTCATTTGTTGAATTGGCAAAAACATTGTGTGGTGGTTATTTTTTCTACTACTCAAATCTACTACTATTTGGGTAGTCCTGGAAGCTTAGAATGTAAGGATGCTTTTTTGTAGTACCCAAGACAACAATATCGGCATACTCTGTTAAGCTGAAAAACCAGCTAGTATGCTGAAGACAAATTCATTGCTCACCTCAGCTAGTGCATCTTCAGTGTGTCTCAGTGTGCAGGGACCTGCTAGCTGTCTAAACAGTTGTGCCTTTGCTTCTGTGCGTATAAATGAGCCCTGGCTGTTGCCCACAGTGACCTGTAGAATGTGCAGCTGGAGCTTCCCTTTTCCTGAATTCTCTGCTCACCCTGAACATAAGGGAGAATCACTCAATTGGAACTATAACTCTTAAAGGTACTTTATAATAATAGAAATTCTCAAGAGGCCTTGAGAGTAGTTTGAGATGTGATTATTTTATATGTCAGCTTTTTTTCTCCTACCTTGACCTTGTAGAGTACCAGGAATACCTTCGTTTGAGACACCTAGTTATAGAAGAAAAAAAAAATCTCTTTTTAGCATGGTAGTTAAGCCAAAGGGTTTCAAACCAAAGCTGTAGACTTTTAGTAAGAGAGAAAATGCCAGTAAGTTATTCTTTTGTTGAACTAGTTGTTTTAACAGAAGAAAACAGAGGCTACAAAGTGGGAGGATTTGGATCATCTTTGTAGTATGACTCATTTCAGGTGGTGCTTTAAGATTTTAGGCAAAAGAGCAAGTTTCAAGGCTGTTGGGATGACAGCACACGGGGGCACGTTTGCATCCTGTGTGTTGCTCCCTGGATGTTCTTTCAAGAATCATGTAAGCCTGACAGCTAAAGGATTTAAGAATGAGTGCCTTAATTTTTCTGAAACCACGGTGGACTTAAATTTATACATAAGGCAAATAGTTCAGAATTACTGGGAAAAAGAAATTTATCTCTTATGGGCATAAAGCCTCAAAGACGATTTTTGTTGAAGTTTCCTGTTTGTTCTCTTTTGCAACAAGCATAGGATGAGGCTAAGCCCTGCATTGCAGGAATTCTGTTAGCCTTGCTTTGTGAAGAGCAAAGTTATAGTAGAGGGCTGGCCAGGAGAGGAAAGTGTCTTAAGTTTGCAAAGATTTCCCCAAAGGAGTAGTTTCAGTGACTTAAAGGAGAAATGGTAATAAGCTCTTTATAGAGTGACATCTGGCTTAAGTACTGCTGTTTGTATGTGTCGTGTCATCTCTCTGGTTAGTGGAAGAGGTGGGAACGAATAAAGAGCTAGAAATGATAGAAAGGGAAAGGGAGACTGATGTCTGCTGGTTGTGAGGTTATGTTGGGTGTGAAAGAAGGCACTAGGTCGTAGCTTGAATCTTCTAACAAAGTGTTTGACAGTGTGCTGCTCTTTCCTTTGCAGGTGCTGCACTCTCAGTCTCGCCATGTTGAAGTCAGAATGGCCTGTATTCATTATCTTCGAGAGAACCGAGAGAAATTTGAAGCGGTAATTTATAATTTTAAGCATGTAATGGTGTGTTGACTTATATTTACATTTTAGCCTTTAGAATGGTCCAGTGGGAATTTCACGGGTTGGATCTTAATACAGGTTTTGCAAATAACCCTTATAAAAAAGAACTGCTGGGCTTCCCTGGTGACACAGTAGTTAAGAATCCGCCTGCCAAGGCAGGGGACACGGGTTCGAGCCCTGGTCCAGGAAGATCCCACATGCTGCGGAGCAACTAAGCCCATGCACCACAACTACTGAGCCCTTGTGCCACAACTACTGAAGCCCGTGTGCCTAGAGCCCGTGCTCCACAACAAGAAAAGCCACTGCAATGAGAAGCCCGCAAACTGCAACGAAGAGTAGCCCCCACTCACTACAACTAGAGAAAGCCCGCACGCAGCAACGAAGACCCAATGCAGCCCAAAATAAAAAATAAATAAAAAATTTTTTAAAAACTGCTTTTTTGAATTCAAATCCAGTTACAGCTGTGATATTTTTTTTTTAAGGCCATTTTGTGGTATTCATTTATTCAGACATTTAGAAAGCTTCTGTGACAGATGGGTCACTGAGCTGTGGAGGCTGGAAGGATGACTTAGGCAGGACCCTTGTGTATTAGGAGCGAACTTTGTCTCATGTGATCAGGGAGTAAGGTGTTGTGGTTAACAGTTTTCTGTGATTGGCGATCCCATGTGAATTGTAAAAATTGCACACTTAGGGTATAAGAAATATGCTGAGCATAGCTAGAGTTGAGCCTTTGATTTTATCAGGAGGCATTTATAAATTTTTAATTTTTAGGGTTCATCATTGTGAACTACCTATCAAAACATTGTAATTATGTAAATAATGATTAGTAGTTAATAGAATGTAGTATAGTTAATTAGTAGTTAACAGAGTATCAACTTACTGTAATTTTCCCAGTAGTGTGTAGTAGGCTGTGAAATAATGCCACAGTGACCTATTTTCATTTTACATTGAAAGCCTTATAGGATTTACTAGTTATTGGTTTTATGACTAGAATTATCATCTGACAACTTTCAATGGTATTTTCCCCCCATTGACTGCCAGAAGAACATTGACACTTTGCATATAACTCAATTCTAAGACTTAATAGGTAAATAGTGTTTAGATGTGTTCTTGGGTTGGAGTTCCTATTTTCAAGCAAAATTTTATTACTGGTGACATTTTTCTGGGTGCCATGTTATAAAATGGACAGTAATACATTCCAGGAAGGAGAGGTACCTGCTTGATCAGGAGATTTGAAAACTTGTTTTATTAATAAAAAGCTGGTAGTGTGGAGGCTAGATAAGAGAGTATTATAGCAGAGGAGGGCAGGGGAGTGGAGTGGTCCTTGAGTATTTGAAGAAATTACAGGTGAATTATTACTGTTATTGGCTGCTGTTGACAACAGTGGAAATTGCTAACATTGGTTGAGCATTTACTGTCTGCCAGCAGGCATTGTTTTAAGTGCTTTGCATATATTTATTTAGCTCTACCATCCGAGGTTGAAAGTTCCAAGGGGGAAAGTTTTGCCTTCCTTATAATGAATACTTCTAACAGTTTCTATTGGCCAGAATTGGAAAAGACTCTCATGGGAAGAAGGGTGTGCCTTTTTACTGACCGTGGTTAGTTGGGGCCTAGATGAATACTTTCTGATTAGAAAGGAGAATCTCAGATTGGATGCAGGCTTGTGTCAGAACATGGCTTAGGTCTTTTGCAACTTTAAATGGTTCTGTGGGGTTGTTTTATTTTTTTTAAGTCTATAGATAATCAACTAATACAGAACAGTAGCCTCTGATTGGTGGGATATTTGAAATATGTGGCTATTTTATTACAAGTCTGTGTTGAAACTTAGGATAGTTTTTGGAAATTTGACAGTATACAATCTATAAAGGAATTAATCTCCGTCTTAAAAAAATCCATGGGCGTTTAAAAGATTTTTATAGACCGGGGAGTGTATTTTAATGGTTTTAAGTGTATCACTTTGTTAAATTAACTGAGACTAATTTAAATAAAATTGAATTTGGTGTTTTAGATAAATGTCTTTTTAGATCTTTAAGTTAAATTAGTGGAATTGCTATGAGAAAAGCAAAAAACATTATTATATAGCTTGAATAAACTCAATTGTTTTTTGTATGTTAAAGTAACAATGAAGCAGGCCATATTAGAAAAATCTTGTTGATTCTTCAAAAGATCTTTAGCATTGTTAGTTCTCGTCCTTGTTTTTAGTATAACTGACCTAAGAGAGAATGAATATTCATATCTATTAGTAAACTAATATTTCTTAGCTAGTGCATCTGTCTTTAATTATCTTCTAAGCATTGGCCATTACCAGGTTTGTCTTTAAGTGCTGCTTTTATCATGTAATTTCTCTGTTCACAGTGTCACCTGCTGGGACCTTGAACTGTCTTCTCCCTAAGTCTGATAGTCCTGCCTGGGCCCCAGGCCCTCTGTGAATAGGTGTGCAGTTGAGTTCCTCTTTCATTGCACTCACCCCACCGAGTGGCCCTGCTCCTGCTGGCCAGGTGGCTCCTGTCTTCCCAACACAGTGCTTGCTCTCCACCGCTTCCTCATGATGCTGTCCCTGTGCCCATCCAGATCCTGTCCAGGAAATGTTTCCGGACAGTGTTTCCTTCTTTAAATTCTTTTGTATGTTTATGATGTTTTCTTAATGATGTATGTATTTTCATAATTAGATTTTATCTGTGCATGTGTGTATATATAATATATATTTTAGTATTACTGATGTATCCAAGGTTTGTGTAAAAATTCAGTAATTCACAGTGAAGAGATTAACTTTTGCTTCGATGTATTTGTAATAGACTTTTTTCTCTTTTTGCAGTTTATAGAAGGGTCATTTGAAGAATATTTAAAACGTTTGGAAAATCCACAGGTATGCAGTAATCTTCTGACGTATTTCTGTTTTTTATATGTTAAATAATGTATTCAAAATTCATTACGAGAGATTAATACTACAGTGTATGGAGGGGTTTCCTTATAAACATTTACTATCTTATGTGCACATTTTATGCAGCATTTAATTGGAAGACAGTTGGAGCTGTGTACTGTGCACTGTTGCCTCACTAAAGACAGTCGTGCTCTCTTTATCTGTCATAATGGCATAAAAGACCTAAAATAACAGTGCTGATGATTTCCAGGGTGCAGTGTTGGTATGTGTATGGGGCTTGGTGGACAGGGCAATATTTGATTGCTTCCTTAGGCAACTGAGAAGACAGTTTCTTTTATGGAGGTTCCATTCCCCATAAAATGGTCAGTGTGAGAAGTAGGAAGAGACAGTTGGGAGTAAAAGGACAGCACTTTCCCACCAGGTCCCATTGCCGGCACTTCCTCAGTCATTTTGAAGTTAAAAGAATTTTTCTTTTTCTTTTTTTTCTGCTGTCGAAACTAATGTTCTTTGTGTAAAAATCCAAATGTTAATGGCATGCCATGTAGAATGTTCCCTCATCCCCGGAGGTAATCGCTGTTAAGTTTAAAATGACATTACCAAAGGAAAAAGCTAAGAGAAGGAGTCAGATAGGGAGGAAAGGGAATAATAACATAGGAATAGGGTGTTTGATCAGTGTTTGGTGTCTCCCTTCACTTCCCTAACTCTAATTTGAGTGCTTGTCGTGGGCCAAGAATGGCCAGGCACCCGGGAGGCAGAGGTAACTGGGATTTGGATGCTGTTCTCAGGAGTTTTCCTATAGTAGGGAACATCTCATACCAGTGAGAAGGTACATGTGTTGTAAGAAGTATAGGTATGATGCTGTAGGCATTCAGTTTTATTCCTGCCTGGGTAGGCAAAGCAGGAGTTTGAGAGTAAGAGGGCATTTGAACTCTGAAGAGCTTCTGGATAAGAAATGCCTAGGGTGAAGGACATTTCCAGGTAATGAAAATTGTGCGCAAGACAGATAAAGAAAGCAGTTGGGTTTGTGTGGAGCACGGAGCACACGAAGGTGGGAGGTGGTGAGAAATGTCCGAGGGCAGGCTGCGGTGAGCTCACGGGAGAGCATCACTGCCAGCCTCATTAGCTTGGAGCTGATAGTTGAGGCCAGCATTTCTCAAAGCATCGCCTACAGGCCATTGCATCAGGAAAAATGCAGATCCCTGGCCTCTATTCCAGACCCAAATCAAAGTCTCTGCACCTGGGGCCTGGGAATCTGGCATTGGGAAGTTTTTCAAGTTTTTTGAGTCAGGAAGTGAGTTATGTTTTGTTCACTGCTTTGAAGTGAGAATAGTGCCTGGTGTTTTTGTTAACTGGATGGATGGATGGATGAAAGAATCTTGTGTAAAGGTAGTTTGGAGGTGGATGAGACCAGAGGCAGGAACACTAGTTCCAGTGGTTTTGAAAAAATTGTTTAATACATGGAGAAGTGGGCACACTATAGTAAGTGTAAAAAAAGGAGAATAAGTATGCTATTACTCCAGTTTGGGTGACAAATACCCTCTGAAGATCTTTTCTCTAAATCTGCTCAGGACTACATTTTTATTTCGGTGATTTTGAAACTGAGTTTTGCCCACAAAAATGGACACACATTCATTTTCCTGAAGTTTGTAGTTTTTTTTGTCTTAGTTTATAAGCCTCTTTGAAGGCAAGAATTATATATTTTGTTGCTTTTGGACTTCCCGTGGTTACCTGTCAATTTGGGGTGCCTGATTGATCAATTTGTGTGTGTTGAGTGCATGTTAAAGCCGTATTGCATTATATGTAACAGGTAGGAAAGATTAAACACCAGAATGTTAACAGTTCTCTCTAGGTAGTAGTACTACTGGTGATTTTTGTTTCCTTTGTAGAATATGATTAATTTTTAATCAGAAAAAAAACCCCACAGTGTAATTTTATAGTAATCTTTGTGCAGCAGTTCAGGCTCTTGGGCTGTGAGGGTCCGAGAAAGGATAGCAGAGACATAGTGGGAGTGGAGAGAAGGGGACCGAGGGAGGAAATGAGGCAGTGTGAACTGAACTGAGACTGATGGGGGGGGGGTCTGCAGGAGGGGGGAGGGCAGGTTGCTGCGATTTTGAGCACGTGGGACAGGTATTTCCTTCCCAGGGTGCTGGCCAGCCAGATTTGTTACCCTTAGGGCACCCCTCCCCAATCCGGTCAAACCTCCTCCAGGTGTTTCAGGTACCAAACAGGACAGTCGTTTGTTCTTCATTATTAGCAATAAACATTTATGTCTTCCTTTGTTTCTTTCTCCCTGATATATGGAATGTATGAAATGAAAAGAGAAATATAGTTGATGGATATAAACTCTACTGCTTCATCCAATTCTCAGAGAAAGCATCTTTCTCCTTTTACTTAAAAATACCAGTGGAACATTTTGAAAAATGCCTCAAACTTTTTGCAAGAATATATTTTTGTCAGCTTTACGTAGGTGAAATTGACATACAATAAATTTTTAAGCTTATAATTTGATGAAATTTGACAGATGCATACAGTTGTGTGACTGCCCACAGACATCGTATAGGACGTTTCCATCACTCCACAGAGTTTCTCGTGCCCTCCTTCTGCACTTAATCCCCCCATCCCCATATCCACTGATGTATTAAGTTTTGCCTTTTCTAGACGGAAAAAAATGGAATGATATAGTTTATAGTCTTATATGGCTGGCTTCTTTCACTTAGCATAATGGAAACATTTTGAGATTCATCCATGTTGTGTGTATCGGTAGTTCCTTTTTTTTTTTCTTTTTTGCGGTACGCGGGCCTCTCACTGTTGTGGCCTCTCCCGTTGCGGAGCACAGGCTCCGGACACGCAGGCTCAGCGGCCGTGGCTTAAGGGCCCAGCCGCTCCACGGGATGTGGGATCTTCCTGGACCGGGGCACGGACCTGTGTCCCCTGCATTGGCAGGTGGACTCTCAACCACTGTGCCACCAGGGAAGCCCCGGTAGTTCCTTTTTATTGCTGAGTGGTCATTCTCTGTATGGATGTACTGCAGTTTGTTTAGCAGTTTACCAGTTGATGGATATTTGAGTTCTTTCCAGTTTGCGGCTGTTACGATTAAAGCTGCTAAGAATATTTGCTTGCAAGTCTTTCTGTGGGCATATGTTTTCTTTTCTCTTGGATTAATACTACTGGGAGTGGAATTGCTGGATCATATGGTAAATTTATGTTTAACTTAATGAGAAATTGCCAATCTGCTTTCCAAAGTGGCTATGCCATTTTGCTTTCTCATTAGCAATATATGAGAATTCCAGTTGCTCTACATCTTCCTCAACACTCAGTATGCTCAGCCTTTTAAATTGTAGCTGTGTTGGTGGTTGTATAGTAGTATCTCATTGTGATCTTAACTTGCATTTCTCTAGTAATGTTGAGAATCTTTTCATGTGTTTATTTGCCATCCATATATCTTTGTTGGTGAAATGTCTATTCATAGATTTTGTCTTTTTTTTTTATTACATTGGTTTTATTGAATTATAAGAGTACTTTATATTGAGTATAAATTCTGTACTGGATATATATTCTTCAGTAGTTTCTTCCAGTTTGTATCTTGTCTTTTAGTGTTCTTAATAGTGTCGTTTGAGGAACAAAAGTTTGCTTTGATGACTATTTAAGAACATTTAAATGAGTTTTTTTGATATAGTGTAGTTCTTGAGTTAAAGCAGATTTTGTAGACACGATGTGCTCTTACCCACAGTGAGGAAGTAGATTAAACATCATACAGAGTGCTGAGTAAATAAAGTTATGGCCTTAAGGTAGAAGATACTGATAGAACATAGATTTTTTTTTTTTAATAATTAAAAATTGATCCTGGTGAGAGAAGACAAGAAGATACGATAGACAAGAAGATAATTCATATATCACATATGATAGATATGTGTACTTAACCAGACTGCAACAGAATTTATTCTGAAGATTAAATATTTATAAAATGATACATTATTTGAGGGGTGGTATTTTGTTGACACTAGTAGAGTAGTTTTCCATTTTCTAAAGTGGATATATGGATTCTGCATAAAGTGGATATAGCTTGTGTTTGTGATCTAAGCAGACTGGTTTCAGGGAAGGCTTTCCTCTATACCAGAGGTTATCTTTTGTACCAGTTTATGAGAAGCTGGGATTGTTAGGCAGAGGCCTATTTTAAGAAGTCTATTTTAATATATGGCACCCATTTCATTTTGAAAAACAGAGCCAACTTTTGCAAGCTATTAAAGTGCAGAGTCTTTGGGGGAAAGATGATTCTTTTCTGAGAGATCAAACCATCCTCTTAAAATCTTTCTGTATCTCAAATTTGTTTTCTTTGAAGGAGAAAGTAGCAGCATTCATTTACCATAGCTCATTATTTTTAGTAACTCTTGGTAGTAAGTCTTCACTAATTTCACAAGTAGTTTAGGAATACATTCTCATGGTGAAAGATTTAATACAGAATGAAGAATGAAAATCTCTACATTTCCCTCATCTTGAACTTCCTGTCTCTGCTGTCAACTTAGGATATCCTTCCAGACCTCTTTCTATGAATATATGTATTTTTTGTTTTGCACAATAGGATTATTTCACCAGTTTACTTTTTACACATAATAGTCTGAGTGATCTTTCCAAGTCAGTTCATCATTCTTTTTGATGATTGCATGATGTTTCCATACATAGTTTGGATGAACCATAAAATTATTTAATTATTCCTTATCTATTAGTGGAATCTTGGGGCTATCTGTAAAAATTTTTTTTAAACTATTACAAATAGCTATAGTGGACATCCTTGTTTATATACACTTTTGTGGACATGTGAAATATTTCTTTAGGATAGATTTTTTTTTTTTTTCTTTTTGGCTGCACTGTACAGCATGCAGGATCTTAGTACCCTGGCCAGGGATCGAACCTGTGCCACCTGCAGTGGAAGCACAGAGTCTTAACCACTGGACCACCAGGGAACTCCCTAGGATAGATTTATACAAGTTGAATTGCTGGGTCAAAGAGTATATGGATATTTAAATTTTTGATATATACTGGCGCTTTCCTTCTGAAAAGCTTAAGGACTTAAAAGAGACTCCTTTAGTACTAGAACTTCTACCACATGTTAAAGTGATTGCTGGGGCACTGCTTTCTTTGTACCTTCAATCATCCTGAAGAGAGAGGACCTGCCCTTTTTCATCCTTCCTGATTCTTGAGTTCTGCTTTGAGTCCACATCCCGTTTTCTGGGCACGAATCATGTGCCAGGCTCTGTTCTGGGTGCTAGGTTGGAGGGCAGAGTCTTTGCCTTTAACAAGTTCTCAACTTAGAGATACTACTCCGTCATCTTGCCACATCAGTAGGAACTCTTATTCTAGCTCTGTTACTAAGGCTTTTTTGCGACAGAAACTTGGGCTGCTTTTTAGTATGTGTTATTATAGCCTGTTTCATAGAAATGTTTTTATAGAATTCATAATACTAACAATATTAATGAGCTTTTCTAGCTAATTAGATATATCATATAAAGATATGTATTAAGGTATTGTAAAAAGTAGGAGACATTTATGTGCCAACTTTTTTTGTTCAATACAGGAATGGGTTGGACAAGTGGAAATAAGTGCCCTTTCTCTTATGTACAGGTGAGCACTGTAATAATGTAGGTAAACAAAAATAAAGTCAGTGGGAAATTAACATGTTCCATTGTAGTCAAGTTGTTAAAATAGCAAAGCAGTTTTATGCCTTGGTTGTAAAAGCATCTTTTCTAATATTTTGCTTTTTTAATTGCATCAGTTAGATTTTGACATTTAGGTATCAATGTATAGAGATTTTAATTTTCCAAATATTTTTGGAATGGAATATAAAAATTTTTCCAGGCCTATAAACTATATCACTTATCATCAGCCTTCTAGAGAAATGATGTCCTGCTCTGAAGGCTGGTAGCATTGAATGGCCACTATAAAGGCAAAACACTATATTGTCAATTTTACAACTTTTGCCCATTAGCGGAGCAGGTGAATGCTCTATTTTTTCTTTTTGAAATGTCCTTATAAATATCATCTTCACAATTCCTCTGGTTTTGAGGTCTACTTTTAGAATTATATCTGAAGTTACATATATGCAAATTACATTTAAAATTTAATTATTTTGCGATGATACTTTTATATAAGTATGTTACAGCTTAGTTATTCCATTACTATCTTTTGTTCACTGCTCTATTTCCAGTGCCTAGAATATTGCTTGGTGTATACTGGGCTCTTGAGTGAATGAATGAATGAGTGATTAAATGTCAATTCATGAAATATATTTCATCAGAAGTAATTTCTACATGTTATTTTCAGGAAAGATTTTATAATTTACCGGGAACCAAATGTTTCTCCTTCACAAGTAACTGAAAATAATTTTCCTGAAAAGGTAAGAATTTTTCTAAGTGTTTCTAAAGGATTTAAGTAAAAGAACCACTCAGTTGCCATCTTGACTGCCTAAGCTATAATTTTTAAGTGACTTTTTGAGTTTTTCTAAGTTCCTATTAATCATCCATGAGTTACATTATTTTGTATTTGTTTTTTCCCACAAATCACTATGTTGAACTCTATCGTAACATTTTACTAGGGAAAAAAAATTGAGATATTAGTGTATGTGATTAATTAGACTATTACTGTTTTACATCAATATAAACATTAAATAGAAAAATAACTTGTGAAAATGGGTTCTGCAATTGCATCCACAAATACTTTGGTCATTGTGATGTATTTCCCATTGTAAAGATAATTTACTGGCTAAGGTGCTATTATTTAGTCACAAAGCAGAAACAACTGAAAAATGATGTGAAGCCTAGAAAGGGGACAAAAACATGATTCATTGTTAGAGAACTTTGTTTTGGTATCATCCAGGCCAAGTTGAAGTGTCTTATCACCATGCAAATGGTGGTAAGGGGGCAGGGAACTGAGTGAAATAGACTTTATAAGGACTTACAGGTTTCCAAGGTGCTTGGCTCTGGATCTGGCCTTTGCAGTATAATTTTTGGAATATGACGTAATCTAAGCAAAATCAGTGTGTATTTTTCTTAGCATAAGTGATTGACTTATGCTAATACACATAAGGTAATACACATAAGACTTACCTATACACATACAATACACATAAGTGATTGACTATTTAGAAGGTACTTAAAACTGTAAAGCAGAAAAAATTTTTCTTTGATTCTGCTTCTTAGAGGTAAGCATTATTAAAGTAAGGTTTTAGAATATTTTCTTACAGTCTTTTAACCCTCATCTTCAGGTAGTTGAAATCACGTTGTTTTCATATATTGTGTGTGATTTTTGTGATCCCATAAGCATTTCCCCAAGTCATTAGGAACTTTTGATTCATTGGCTGTGTAACATTTCAGCATATGGATGTACCATATGGTCATGTACCATGTACATGTACCATGACCACATTGGAGCTTTAGGTTACTTCTAAAATATTCACTTCCTACTAGGAAATTTATTTACTAGTAATTCAGTGATATTAGAGATGTAAGTTGCTATGTAAATGTCATATATGAAGGGCTGAAAAGTGTATTTTATTTTTCTCTTTCAGGTATTACTGTGTTTTTCGAATGGCAATCATTATGATATTGTCTATCCCATAAAGTATAAAGAGAGCTCTGCTGTGTGTCAGTGTAAGTAATCACCCTTGTGCTTATATAGGAAATTTTCTTCCTAAGCATTATAGTCTAGTGCAAACAAGTCCGGGCAAATGCACTGTTTTGTTGTAAAAATATATTTCTGAGATCCTTAGGTTACCAAAAATGTTAATGCTATAATAAAAACTTATTTCAGTAGGACAAAAAAGGCACTAGTATAGATTAGAGTTTGGCTTGTAAATACAAAGTTATTTTTTCTTGCAGTAATTAATTTCAGTAATAATGATTTGTATGTGTTTTTAAAGCTGTTAGTGTATAGCTTGAAAATCTAAATGACAGAGGAAATCAAGTATTTGATCGTATTTGGCTCTAGACCTGGGTTTCTTGACCTTGGCACTCTTAATATTTTGGGCCGGATAATTCTTTGTTTTGGGGGTTGTTTTGTCCATTGTAGGATGTTTAGTAATATCTACTCTGTAGATGCCAGTAGTGCTCTCTCTCCCATGTGACAACCAAAAATGTCTCCGGATTTTGCCAAGTATTTCCTGGGAGGATAAAATACCCCTTTCTTCCCCAGTTGAGCATTACTGCTGTGGTAGCTCCTTCCTGCCTTCTTACTTTATCTTCTTTATCATCTATTATGACAAAGTGCACGTGACTCATACAAAGCAGTGGTGCTGGGCATGTGATGGGCATTTTCCCTCTGTTCTTTAGCTGGGGGTGACCAGTAAAGACATGTGTAATGTAAAATTTTAAATTGATCTATTTGAGATATGGGAGTCTAGCTGTCTGTATCCTGGGCTGTGTCCTCCACCTGTACCAGCTAGTCAAAATCTGGACATTTCAGCTTTGGGAAGGACAGCTCATGGTGCCTACCTTTCCTGTACTTCTCAGAACCTGTGGTTCCGATGATATTGGGATGAATGCAAGGTGGTCTGTGAGAAAGGGGGTCTCTTGGGGACTCGTTTAGGGGGTGGGCACCATTGTCAATGAATTCTTCGTGGACTTGTTTGGGTAAGGTTCAAAGTGAGAATCCTGAACTCCCATGTGTAGGTTTTGAATGTTTGGTAATATATATTTCTATGTTTTCTGGAATTTGTTATTTTCTTCTTCTTTTTTTAAAGCAAAGAAGTTGTCTAAATATGCTTCAGTGGCTGCTGAGAATACATTTTACAATGGTTTCTCTTTAGTCCATTATGAAAAGTTATCTTCTTTCTAGCAATCTTAATTTTCCTTACGTTTTCCATCCAAGCCTCTTTAGGTTGGGCAGGTTGTGTGACATCTCTAGTTCTCAGTTTCTTCATGTGTACAGTTAGAATAAGAACATTTCACTGTGCTGGCATTAAATATGAAGGTGGTATGTAAAGGCTTAGCACAGTGTGTGGGATGTAGTCATTGCTCACTGTGCATGTTTAATTTTATCATACTTGGTTCAAAGTAGTGATACCTTTTTGTGTTATTGTTAGTTTTAAAAATGTCAGTATATTATATAATGATTTTTGAACTAATTAACTGCAAAGACAGAAATCTAGTTCCTCTCTATCTAGGTAACTTTCTGATTAAATTGTGTTATTGCTTATAAGGTGTTACAGGTATTTAGTTAGGATTTGGAAGCCCGGGCAATCTCAATGTTATGTTAAAACGTAAAGTGAGTTAATATTGTGTAACATCTCTCTTTGTTAATTGCAGCTCTGCTTTATGAATTGTTGTATGAGAAGGTATTTAAGACTGATGTTAGTAAAATCTTGATGGGACTAGACACCTCTGAAGTAGCTGATGAAAACAACAGTGAAATATCAGATTCAGAGGATGACAGTTGCAAGTAAGAGTGAATTTCAGTCCTAAAATATCTTTGTAGTGCCATACAAAGAAACAGTTCAGTAAATGCTTCTGCATGGAGTAGCCTCACATATTGAGGTATTATGGTATTCCTAAAATACAGCAATACAGAAACCTATGCAGTAAGTTTCTTTTTTCCTGCCACTAATTTTATCTCATTTCTATTATAGGACTGTTTCTTTTGACAGTTGATTTTGTTTGTTTGTTTTTGCTAAGCGTCTATTTCTGTGTAATCGTGATGCACATATCTCTGAAATAGATTTGGTCCTGCCTATATGTGTGTATATTCTAAAATTTTAAGGTTAACCTGTCAATTGCTTACATATCCAGTGATGAAAACGGCCATTTTGATTTCCTTGACTTTCTTTTATTGTTTTCTTTCTTAGATAATGCTGCCTCCTTTTCTTTTTATATAATAAAAATCCCAAGTTGGGGTATAAGTATGTGAACAGTTCTGGATAATGCCTTTGTTTATGTTGCAAATAAACACCTTTTAACTTAGAGTCTGCAGCTTATTTTTCTTTTCCACTTAAAACATATAGGGTAGTGGCTAAAAGCTTGGGCTGTGGACATCCTAACCTGGTTTCATTCCTGGCTTACTGCCAACTAACTGAACTTGGGACAAGTTACTTAAATTCCGAAGAAGCCTCAATTCTATAGGTATAAAATGAGGATATATTAGTATTTCTTTAAAGTGGAGAATTTATAAGAATTAAATGAGATAACATGTAGAATGCAGAGCCTAGTTCCTAGGTATAGTATCCAACGTATATTAGTTTTTATCAGTGATGTTAAGAAGCTTACTCTGTATTTTATAAGAACCGACCTATTTCATTCTTAGTGAAGCTAAAAGTATATCATTCCTTTTGTATGAGAGTATGAAAGTACCCTTCATGGTGTCACATACTGTGAAACTAGAGAAAAATAAAATTAAGCCTCAGGATATCTAATTCTTTATTAAACACTTAAATATATCTCTATTTGTAATTCCCAGCATTTCTTGAATTAAATTGTAGATCCTGATTGAAAATTTGGTTGACTACCATTTTTACATAAGAAATGAGTCAGATTAAAATCTGGGTCTGCCATTGTAAATTTAATCCTAGAATAGACATAATAAACTTTGCACAGATGGAAATTCTGCTGCATGGTTTTCTCCAGGTGCCTAGTATGATTAAGGCATGTCATTGAGCTTAGGGGAATTTTGAGGGAGAATGAATAACTAGCTTGTTGTAGCTTATTAACTTTACTTGGTGTGTGGGGACTTCCAGCAGATGCCCTTTGGTTGCTGCTGCAGTTCTGGCAACAGCTGGGTCTGGGTTGGCAGCTGGCAGGTGAAGTAGGCGAATTGTGGAGTAGAGGCTAGTAAGCTGGAGAAGTTTACCAGGGATGGTGTGCTCATTGTAATGATCAGTTTTCCTTTTTATACTATATTATTGAAGCCCTTGGAACATGGAAGCCTTTCTAATTAATTTTTTCTTGCATTATTAGGATTTCCTTTTACTTGTGTCATGTCTGGCTTAGGGAGGACCAAGCTTCATTTAGAGAAGAATGCTACATAATCATGGCAAGATAGATAGGCATAGTGTGTGATATCCAGGCACTATGCTCCTGTGCCTGGATCTTTTCACATTCATATTGATCAATCCTGAAGTATTAGAAATTAGGGTGCTTTTTTAGTCCAGACTCTAAATACTTGGGGTCTCTTAAATATTGCTGCATTTAAGGGTATAGATTTGGAGATTGTCCTAAAGACTAGAGATTGATTTATTAAGGTGGAGGAATTATATGACAGAAGAGTACAGGTAGCCTCTCACCTCATCAGCCACTCAACTTGCCATCAACTTGTCCAGCCTCTTGCCTACCCCCAGGTCTTTGCACTTGCTGTCCCTTCTGCTTGCAATACTAAATAGCCGTGTGGTTTGCTGTCTCATCACATTTAATTCTTTATTCAAAAAGACATCTTCCTTCATCCCATTTTTTATTATTTGATCCTAGGTCTCAAAACTAATTTTTTCCTACCTTTTATCCCCCCCCAAAGCACTTAGCAGCATTTAACATACTGATTACTTATTTAGTTGGTGTCTACTCTTACCTGATTGTATATCTTGTTGTAGCGGAATATTTTGTTTAATGGAGCCTCATCTATATTTTGAAAGGAAATTTTTACATTAAATGTTTTTATGAACTCAGTTATTCTACCAACCCAAATTTCATAGTTTATTTCTGTTTCTTCTTGATGATCGAGTCAGTAAGAATTACTGATAAAAATCTTTGATCTATATACATACACACATAAGCACATGTACATATATACATATATATACATATATATGCACAGTTATACTAAAACTTGTTTGAGCTCCTTGGAATATATATAGGGTTGACTTTTTGGAATATAACTGGGATTTTATATGACATTAGAACAAGTTAATTGCATGCAAACATTTTTGTGCTCCTAATGATGGCTGTGTTTCTTCCTTTGTAGGAGTAAAACTACCACTGTTAATGATGTGAATGGATTTAAATCTTTGTCAAGTGATCAGGTATTTTTATTTAATGGTTTTTAACTACCTCTTCAGTATAAGAAAGTATATGAATTTATCGTCTTAATTTTTTTTCTCTTTTCTGGTACATTTTCAATAGAGTCAGGATCATCTACTAGTAAGACATTCTTTGGTGGCCTCTTAAAGTTTTAAAGTTTTCTTCTTCATTTGATTTTACTCTTAAACATATCTCAAACATGTTTTGAAAGCATTTCTGTGTTGATTGGACTTCCTGACTTTGTTTATTTAGCACCCGAAAAGCAATGGGAACTCTCCTAGCCTTCCTTTGTCTAGAAAGGTTCTTAAGTCACTCAGTCCAGCGGTCTATAGAAATGTGGAATATGAAATTTGGCTGAAGTCTAAACAAGGTGAGTTAAAAAAAAAATCCGTGTATTTTCCATAAATTTGCTTTGAGGCCCTTGAAAATGATTAACGTCAACTTGATATAATGCTGATATTCTTTACAGCTCAACAAAAACAGGATTATTCCATTGCTGCTGGCTTACAGTATGAAGTTGGAGACAAATGCCAAGTAAGTGACTACGTAGAGGAAGAGAAGATTTTACTTGAAATCTTTATTGTAATAGGAATCAAGAAAACAGCTCAAGTTTGGATGTGTTGTTAATTTGGGATTTCAGAATATATTGTGTGTACATTTTAATAGTTATCAGTATTTAGCTCTTGAATACATTACCAAAGTCAAATATATCTAAAACCATGGCATCCCATCACATGATCTTTAAAACAATTTAGTCTTTGATGTTACTTGCTTCAGAGAAGTAACAGTAACATCTTAGAGTTTTAGATATTTTCATTACAGTTGACAAATAATTTATTGAAATTGATTCAGACTTGACATTATAGGTCAGTTTGGTTTATGGAAGGCATCCTGGAAGATTCTGATAATACACAGTTTTTTGTTGGATTGAGATAAGAAAGTGAACAGTAAGAGAACTTTTTTGCCATTTACTTTGAATAAGCTGCTGCTTTGGGTTTAAAACCGTTGATTGTTAAGGGGGAAAGTTGTGTTAGATCGGTGTTTCTTACTTGGAGTGATTTTGCACCCCTACCTCCCATTTAGCAATGTCTGCAGACATTCTTATTGTTACAGCAGGGAAGGTGTGACTGGTATCTAGTGGGTGGGGGCCAGACATGGTGCCAGACCTCCTAGAACGCACAGGACGGCACCCCAGCAAAAAATCATCTGGTCCCAAGTGTTAATAATGCCAAGACTGGAGAAACCTTTATGAAAAAATATTACTCTTTCTAAAACAAAAGCAACACACGCACAAAAAAAATAATTGTTATTTGGAAGATAATTTTCATCAAAAATGGTCTTCATCAAAAAGTGTTGCCTTTTTAAAACTGTTTTAAAATAGCCATTGACAAACATTTCTTGACTTGTGGAGGAAACACTTGTTTCCTTGGTGATAAAGTGGTTTGTGAAAAGTGTCTGGGAGACCAGGATTATTTCTGGAGGTCAGTGACAGACTTTACCTTAAGAACTTTTAATAGTGTTCTGATTTGGGGGTATTTTTAAAGGAGAGGAAGAAGAGGATACGATTCATTTAGGTTCTTCCTTACACGATTGTCAGAAATGTGCCCTAATCACAGAACAGAATTGGGGAATCTTTTACTATAGAGATTTGGGGAACTTGGAACAGGACAAAAGAGAAGAGTAAAGCCAGGGCTTAGGGCGCTCCCTCCCTCCCTAACCCCGCTCAGCAGAGAACAGAAGATTGCTTGTTTTATGCTGCATCGCGAAAATTATGTTACTTCTTATTTTAAATCAAGCATATTTGCTTTGAGATTTCAGTTGCTTTTGTAAAGCAGATGCTGTTGACAAGGTAGATGGTAAAGCAGCTACTTGTTTGAATTTTTTTCCTTTTTAGAGTACTTTCTTTCTGTTTCTACCCCTTGACTATTTCACTTGGATAAAATTTAATTGAAATTTTATTACGGAAACTGCTGTGACTCAAAGGTGACTTTTATTTACTCAAGCAAGCTTGTAAATGTAGTTTAAACTTCTAATAAAAACTAACTTCAGAAAAATATTTCTTAAACTCTGGAAGAGAGGAAAGCAGTGTCCTGCTGTGACTGAAGGACGAGACCTTGGCTTGAGGACTTTGATCCACAGTTGGCCTTTCCTCTGCGTCTGGGTGTGGAGGGCTGACTATACTGTGCCATTTTACATAAGGGAGTCGAGCATCCAGGGGTTCTGGAACCAGTTCCCCGCGGATGCCGAGGGCCAACTGTACTGATAAAAAAAGCGGAGGTGGCTTCACGCGGGGCTGTGTCCATCAGGCTCCCGGTGCAGTGGTTAGCGGCGCCCCGTGCTGTGTGTGCCGTTTGACTGCAGGAGGAGACCTAAAGGCTTAGCGTCCTGTTAAGATTTGCTGTTGTGTAATAACCAGCTGTATGTCAGAGAAGAGATGACGGATCTGTTTTTAGGGAGAAAAAGGTCACATTTACATGTGACAATATTGTAAATATTGGAAAAGTGAGAAGACAATAGTGATTTTAAGAATCGTTGTTCTCCTTTGTTGAGTGGTTGCTGTGTGCAGGCTGGTGTCCTTTATATATATCATGTGTACCTCATTCCACCTCCATGGGTCCTATGATGTAGGTACTATAATTAGCCCCATCTTACATATGAGGACACTGAAGCATGAGATAAGTCACTTGCCCAAGGTCATATTGCTGGTAAGTAGAAAAGCGGGGCCTGGAATCCTGGTGTGTGTGGTGCTGCCACAGCCCTGCCTTCAGAACCAAGACAATTTAGAAAACACTTGGAAGAGTAAACAAAGAAAAGTATTTTGGATGGAGGTACCTAGGTCTGGGAGGTCAGAGACAATGTTATTGTGTACCTTTTGAACTTCATTTTGTTTTTAACTATGTTCATTTTCTCTTTAGTTGAAAATGAAATAACAGTTTAAAAACTGATGGTTGATGCGAAAGAATCAGGTGACTGATTTTTCTTTGCGGAATCGTTCAACAGGTTAGGTTGGATCACAATGGAAAATTTTCTAATGCAGACTTTCAAGGGGTTCACTCTGAGAATGGGCCAGTTTTGGTCGAAGAACTTGGAAAGAAGTATGTACTGCTCTTCAGCTAAGGTGTTCATTCACCGTCTCTTCCACTTAGCCTAATGTATAATCGTGAGCATTTCTAAATGTCCCTGTGTATTTGCAAATTCATTTAAATGTATTGCCTGTGTGTAGAGAAATATATTTGTGTAGATCTTGTAGAAAAATAGTTTGAGTTCAAATTTAGTGTTATCTGTGTTAAGGTATTTTAAATAAATATTTGTTTTGTTGCTTACTGTTTAAAATGTGCCATTCTTCGCTAAGGCGATTTGGAAAATCAACCGTATTGTAGCTGTGAAGTGGGGACTTTGGAGGACAGGGACCACATTCATTTCTAATTTCATTCATTGCTGCCTTGCGTGCAGTCTTCAGTAAATGGTTATCTGATGGAGGAGTGAAATACTTGCTATTATACAGTGTTACTTAGAGCAACTTTTGTTTCAGTTGCTGCTGCCTTTATTAGAGGAAAAGGCAGTAAATCACACCTAAACTTTACTGTGGAAAATGTCAAACATACACATATGTGAGGAGGATAGTCCAGTGAGCCCCAAAGTAATTATCACCCTATTTTAACAGCTAACAGCAGGTTTGGCAGTCTTTTCTGATCTCTTCTCCCTAACCCCTTTAAAAAAGATGCGAGTGGAATTAGAATATTTGAAAGCAAATCCCAAACATTACACCATTTCTCATAGACACATAGATGCCTCTGTGTGTCTCTAACACAGTAAAGACTCCTCGCTTCCCCGTCCTTAGCTACAGTACTTTCATCACATCTCACAGAGTAATAGTTTTTCCTTCTTTATCTAATCTTTTGCTTAGGTTATGATTACGGCCTTTTAGTCTTCTGTCCTTGTAGGTTAGAAAATGTGCTTTTGATTTATGTCGTCTTATTTGATTAGAGTTACATCTGGGTTGCTGAATGCTTTGTACTTTAATGTGTTTTCAATATAAGAACTAAACCTGGGAATTCTTAGGTAAACGGAAAGTAAAATATTTATGCGGAGTATACTTAAGTGGATAGTCTTGGGGGAGCACGATAAATTACTGCAAGTCTTTTCCTCCCTTTTAAAGACTCTCCCCGAAGAACCTCAGACCGCCTTCCTCAGAAAGCTGGAACACGGTGGCAGGGAGGAAGGTGAAGAAACCCCCTTCCGGACAGAATTTCCATTGTGGTAGGAGCATGTGCCGGGTTACCCTTCCTTTGGGGAGGGGATGGTGCTTGGGGGTGTCTGTGATGGGAAGATCACGAGGCAGTTTGGCTCTTGCCACAGATGCGGACTACAGAGGGCCCAAGGCCCCGGCGAAGCCAGGAAAAGCCCCTCCCACGCTGCCACCTCGCCTGCAGCACCCTCCGGGGCTGAGGCAGCGCGCGCCCCCCGGCCACCCTGCAGCGCCCCAGTCTCAGAAGCCCTCCAGTGAGCACAGAAGTCTGAGCAGGACACCCACACAGGCCACCAGGTAACCGTCCCGAAGGCAGGAGAGCTAGAAACTAAGTGAGAAAGCATCTCTTTTCACTTTCTGTGTCACATGCTTTTAAAAAGTTGCAATTTTTGTTCGTATACTTGTCTACAGCGTGACATTAAAAGTATTGTTGATAGAATAATGTGAGGATCTCAGTTCTTTATAACTCTCTTTAAACAAATCAAAGTAATTTGGTAGGGTCAGACATCTTTGTTTTTGAATAACTTTTTTCAAATGATTTAGATCGTAGCCTGGCACCTCAGAGTCTTCCGGTAGCTTGTAATGTGTTAAATACTGAATTCCAAACTGCAGCCCTAATTCCTTGCAGGGTGAGGATATTCCCCTTTACATAGGAACTTAAATCAACCAAAATGGTCAGCTTACTTTGTTCCGACAAGTTTGGATTGTTTGTTGTAATGTGTCTAATACTGAACAGGTTGCTGTGAACATGAATTACCAGCATTCTGACTGAATATGCAGAGGCAGATGAACTTCAAGGTCATAGTTTCCTGTGTCGTGGATTTAAATTTTTCCCTAATCTGCCCTTCCTTGGAGTAGTAGTTATAGAGTAGTTTATATTCTTTGGAGGAGCTTTATTTGAGAAGGTGTGTCTTAAGTGGAGGCCGTCCTCTTCCTGTGAACTTGGCCACGTCTCCTGTGGGTGCTTGTGGCTCACCTTCCCCATCCAAGCTTGATCTCCCCGATCATCTGAACAGCTCTAGCGTCTGCTTATGTGCTTGCTAAGCTCTGGTCTTTTGTTTCTTTATTTTTGGCATTTGGGCATTCCCCTTTCTTGGGAACGTGCTTAACATTTTGTCATTAAAGACGGTTTATGTAACATCTTTAAAGACGAGAGTTGTAGGTTCTTAGGCTGACATGGTACCAAAACTGTGTAGTTTCCTGGGGCTGTGGTAGCATAGTACCACAGACTGGCTTAAAGCAACAGCAGTGTACTCTCTTACAGTCCTGAAGGTTGCAAGTCTGAAATCAAGGTGTCAGTAGCGCTGTGCCCTCTCTGAAGGTTCTAGGGGAGAGTCTGTTCCAGGCCTCTCCTACTTCTGGTGTTGTCCACAGTCCTTCGCGTTCCTTGGCTTGTAGATGTATCTCTCCAGTCTCTGCCTGCATCATCACGTGGTGTTCTCCCTGGGTGTCTGTGTCTCTTCTAGTAAGGAACCAGTTATAGTGGGTGTAGGGCCCACCCTACTCCTCTATGATCTCATCTTAATGGGATTACTTCTGCAGAGACCCTATTTATAAAGTCACATGCACAGATACGAGGGGTTAGGACTTGAACGTATCTTTTTTGGGAGATGCAGTTCAATTCATAACAAATACCAGTACCTCACATCCATTACAGTGTTCTCTTTAATTGAGCCAGCTGTTCAGGATAGCAAATTAATTGATATTGTTCAAAATCCAAAGCACTGAAAAGTTTGTTCTGATAATTCTCCTTCCTATCCCTGTTGTCTCAGTTGTCTAGCTTCCTCTGCAGAGGCATCCAGTGTTAACAGATTCTTGTCTATCCTTGAAGGGATGCTTATATGTGTGTAAAAAGTACGTATGTATTCATAATCCGGTTATCCAAAGTTCTAATGAGAACGGATGATTAAAAATCAATCAGAAAGAATTCCCTCATCCCTCAAGGGTGGTCACTATATAACACAACCCTGAGAAATGGCCTGGGTACAGAGTAATCAGAGCCGTGTGTTCTTGGCACACCCAGCAACAGTGTGCAGGGGCATTCGGGGGCCCACGGTGGGTTAGCCTCCCCCAACAGATAGCACTTATGTCACTAAATCACCTAGTTGTGGCTGAAGTCTGTTGTGCGGACATTGACCAGACTCCACTAGCATCTGGTGGTATCTTAGCCAGTACAGGCAAAGTACCTAAGAGGACTGACTGACTTTGAATATTAGCTTTGGAAACCTAAAAATGTGAAGTCAGTATAGGAAGGTCGTGGACAGAAATGAGAGTTTTCTTTTTAATAAAATTCTCATTTTTTAGTAGACTAGAAGAGCCTTTTTATCTCTTGAACAGAGGATACTCTTTAATGTCGTAAAGTTTTCAAAAGGGAACATACACAGACTACCAAATGACTGATTTAAATACACTTTTGTTTACCACAAACTGAATTTTTATCCAGTGTGTTTCTAGTGTTTTGTCCAGTCTGCTAGGAATTAGAATGATCAGACAGACGTGGTCCTTTTCTTGTTTATGTGTTAGCTACCTATTACTTGGTGTATAAAACACGTGATGGCAGAAGGCAGTGGAGAGTACATAGACATCAAGCTTTGGAGAATTTTGACACTGTGATTGATTATGTGCGAACGTAGTTGTACTTGCAGTTAGTAAGCCCTCTAGCCTGTGGGAGTGAGAATGAATTTTACTAGTGTGTTAAATTTAGAGACTGCTGATGGTTAAATATTAAAAGTAAGATTCTAAAAAATTCTGGTCAAAATTTAGAATTTTATAGCTAAAACTCCAGTTGATTTAAGTCCATTAGAATTTATCTTGACTTCATTTCTAATATTTCACACATGAGTTTGGAATTCTCATTATAGAATAAAAAGAGCAGTGATGTTGGGCATGAGACCTTCATGACCTCTCGCTTTTTAAATTTCTTTCTCATTGATATTGTCTCTTCCTTTGGAGAAAACAAGACAAAGTGTAACCAAAACCAAGCAGGATTGCCATGTGTGCTTTCATTACGCAGGTGCCGAAAATGATAGACGCGTCCTTGCTGGATATTTCCCCTCCCGCTAGGCTCAGGATAGGAAGGTTCTCTGTGGCGCACGAGGGTGAAATGTGGGCTTCGGGTGATGGGGCGCAGAGGTTAGGGAGTATTGACTTTGTGGAGACTCCTGGCACTAGCTGAGTCATCTTGGGAGTCTTTCACCACTGGGGTTTGGGAAGGACTGGTCTAAGATTGAGGGTCCAGGTTTGCTCCCCTGTTTCTTTCACTAATACTCGGGGGTTGACATGTGCCCCATTGGAATTAGGGTGTGATTTTAAGTGGGACTGAGGACATGAAATGGCTGTTCTTGATTTCAGAGGTAGGAGAATCCGATGGTATCAGTTGTGTCCTTCCCACTCTTTTTAGGGAGCTGCATCTCTTCAGTATATTTTCCCTGGTGGCTTTGGGTTTTCATTTCCCACTGCTGTGGAACTATTAGACAAAGTGTAGAAGTTAGTATTCCTATTGCCTATAATAATTTTAATTCATATAAAAATGTTAGGGTTGTGTTATCTGTTCATGAATTTTTTTGTCTCCTTCTTTGACCAAAGTTATTGAAGTGACAGCAGTCTTATCTGTAGTTAGTATCTAGCCTGGTGCATTTTTTTCTTCTTTTCACCTTTCATCCTCCCTTGGTAGTGTCATTAAAAAGCAGGGAGATGGTCGTGGTGTCTCTTTGAACGTTGTCCTTTACTTAGAATAGGATATTAGAGTGCTTTTGAGGCCTAAACTAGTAACCTTCCCTTTCCTTTGAAAGAGAATTCTTATGAAAGTATTGGAATATGGCGTAAAGAAAATATACAGTGCTTACATTTATGCCTTCCTGTGTCACTTGGAAGTGAGTAATATTTTTCTTTTCTTTCCACCCTATTTTAAGTTTGTCTTCTCGACTCTGAAATGTAGCCTAATGCTCCAGGGGCTTGTGTTTCCTAAACATTTATTAATCAGGCAGCTAAAAGTTCTGTAATCTCACAGTGTAGCTAAACTGGTCAAATATTTGAATTGCTCAAAGCGTTGATTTATATTATTTTAGGTACTCAGTACATTTTGTCTTTTTTTTTTTTTTTTTTTTCATGACAAGAATGTTTTATTTGACAGGAAACCTGATCGTGAGAGAGCTGAGGATTTTGATGCCACGACGCGAGAGTCTAACTATTTCGGCCTCTCTCCAGAAGAGCGCAGAGAGAAGCAAGCTATAGAAGAATCTCGTTTACTCTATGAGATTCAGAACAGGGATGAACAGGCTTTCCCAGCCCTTTCCGTATGTATATAAAAAGGGATTTTAAAAGTTACCCTTTAGAAGTCTTTCTTAATATAGTTCTTGTATTAAGCCATAGTTGTAAATGGTAGACTAATAGTTTTTAAACTGAAAGGTACCTTGGTGATTATGCAGCTACTCCTCCTTTTCATCTTCATAAGTAAGGTGAGGTCTAATGATATTTCTAGTTGGTGGCAGAGTTGAGGCAAGTAATAAATTGGTTATCTCACTTTAAGTTTAGTATTTTCTTTTTTAAAAAAATTTATTTTATTTTTGGCTGCGTTGGGTCTTTGTTGCTCGCATGGGCTTTCTCTAGTTGCGGCGAGCAGGGGCTGCTCTTTGTTGGACTAGCCCGTTGCACGGGCTTCTCATTGCGTGGCTTCTCTTGTTGCAGAGCACAGGCTCTAGGCACGCAGGCTTCAGTAGTTGTGGCTCGCGAGCTTAGTTGCTCTGCGGCATGTGGGAATCTTCCTGGCCCAGGGCTTGAACCCGTGTACCCTGCATTGGCAGGCGGATTCTTAACCACTGCGCCACCAGGGAAGCCCTAGTTTTTTCGTTTGAACCAAAACTTGTTTGTTTTTGCTAGCCAAAACCGGTAACTTTCCCTAAGCAGTAGAGGTTCATGATTCAGTTAACGAGATATATCTGTAAAACCGGGAAACTCTTTTCAGTGTCCCTTATTAATACCAGGACAAGATTAACCTAGTACATATAAATAAGAGCTGTTGTTCAGAGTGGTCACTGTTGGAGGTGGTAGTACATGCAGCCCTGTGGCTTTGCCCTTGCTCCCTGTGTCAGACGCTGGGCTGTGATGGATGCTTCTCTGATGAGACAAGTGTTCCCTACCTTTAAGTTTCTTACTTCTTTTGGGGGAGTCAGAAGGGAAAACAGTTCTTGTGTAGAGTGTGGAGTAAATGCTGTGTGAGGAGGGGTCATCGGCAGCACAGGGCAAGGGTTAGCTACTTGAGTTTGGGGGCACTGGGCGCCCTGTGCCTATGGTCTGAAATATCAGTAAGTGACACCAAGTGACCTGTGATGGAGAGTGGTGGTTGGAACACTTTCTTAACAGTGGGTTAAACAAACAAAGTGGAATGTTACAGGATGCTACCCAATACATATATGATACATATATTGGCATGTATATATATATATCTCAATATGTATAATATGTATATAGGTATATATATTTATACCAGTATAAAACATTAAAGCCACACACACTCAATTTTTTGTACCCTGGCCTCCATGGGATCCTTCAGAGGTATGAGATGCTCAGTTGAAAACAGCTGACCTGGAACAGTATATATATAGTTCAGTCTGGCACAGGGACTGGAGTTTAGGAATTACTGGAAGTGCCCAGATTCATATGTGAATTAGGCATGGATATATTATTTTTCCATAATATTCAGAAAATAAAAAAACTGCAAATCATTTAAGCTTCTACTCACAGCTTTTTGTCCTTTTTTCAGTTAGTGAATGGGGAGAAACAACTACTGTAATGTGGGAATAGGTTGTGAAATTTTTTGATGTTAAAATGGAGTCTTCATACTCATTGTCTTTAAATAGGCATTTGATCCTGTCTTGGACTTGACAGCGACTCAGGTTTGTCTTGTAGAAAACGCCTGCCACAGAGGGCTGAGGTCGTCTTCTCAGCCGTGTGCAGCATTTACTCACAGATGCTAGAAGAGGAAAGACCTTCAGTGGTGATTTAGCTGAGAAGCCAGACTTATTCCATTCCCCGTGTTTCACCAGTTAGAAGTTGGAGCTCACGTGGAGCTTGGGTGATTTGTTGACAGTCAGTAGCGTGTCAGTGGTAAGCGTCCTAGTGCACTGTATCTGCCCGTTTGCACTTGGGTGTTTTTCCCCCACCAAGGGCTGTGGCTGAGCTATGGCTGCTTTTGAAGGCTTTGTGCAGAGAATGGAAGTGTAAGTTGCAAAGTGAAGGTTTGGTCAGGGTGGCTTCCTGAAATATGGGCATACGAAGAAGTCTTCATACTAATTTAGGCCCAGCGTCTGATTGCCTTATTAGTAAGCTGATTACTATAGAGTATATAATATGAACCCTAGGTCCTATTTTTTTGTAGTTTGGGAAGTATAAAGATAGGGCTATGAATTTTTTTTTTTTTTTTTTGGCGGTACGCGGGCCTCTCCCTGTTGTGGCCACTCCCGTTGCGGAGCACAGGCTCCGGACGCGCAGGCTCAGCGGCCATGGCTCACGGGCCCAGCCGCTCCGCGGCATGTGGGATCTTCCCGGACCGGGGCACAAACCCGTGTCCCCTGCATCGGCAGGCGGACTCTGAACCACTGCGCCACCAGGGAAGCCCAGGGCTATGAATTTTGAGAGTTTTAGTTAGATGTATGAAGAGTAAGGTTAATTAGAAGATTTTGTTCATATATTTGTGAGTAAATCTTTAACCCAAAGTGTTGGGTTTTGTTTATTTTAAGAGCTCATCAGTCAGCCAGTCAGCTTCTCAGAGTAGCAACCCAGGCGTCCAGAGAAAATCATCACATGGAAGCGATAGAAAAGGAAGCAGGCGGAGAATGGACACCGAAGAAAGAAAAGATAAAGGTATGTTATTTCATCATTTGAAAGCAGATGCGAGAGATCTGTTTCTGGCTTAAAGTCAGACATGGGTAAAAGAACTTACTTTTTAAATGATTAAGCAATGTACTGTCACGTCTCACTGTTGTAGAGAAGCATTGACTCAAGCTAAATAAAGCATATTGTGTTATTCTGAAAACTATCCACTGACTAAACATGGTTCAAAAGGTACTTTTGGCTTTCTCTGTCTTCACGTTTTACTGTTGTGTCTTCACACCTAAATAGTGAATGATGCCGTCTTTTTTATCCTGATCTGTTATAGACTCTGTCCATGGACATATTCCCTTGGATAAAAAGCCAGAGCCAGGCACACTGGAGGTAAACGTTTTAAATACTAATTGCGTCTCTTTCTTTTTCCTTAACATTGTGACAGTGTAGAAGGAGATGGAGATGATTTCATCATTTTATAACAGTGTTAGGGAAGTAAAAAAGCAGAAGAAAATTGAGAAAAAATTACAGTGCTTGAAGGGAATTCACTCACAAATTGTAACCGTTTCTTCAATGATACCTTATGATGACCTATCTGAATTGGTGGAACATAGGTTAGCTTTTACTTTCCATTACTCTCTAGTAGATTGAGATTTTTTAATGGGAAAAGTGCTGTTTTGAAACCATGCTCCTGATAAAAACTGCCCAGTAGTCTGATGTGATGAAGATGTGGAGGCAAAATCCCCTACCTGTTGGAGCCCAGGTACAACAGAAAAGAGCAGCTGGTCGTCAGAGGGTGCAGGCAGGTGCGGGTAGGGTGAGCTGTAAAGGCGGCCATGGTTACCCCAGAATGTGGGTCTTTGAAATGCAAAAGTATGCTTTTTTTTTTTTTTTTTTTTTGTGCTTCCAAAGAATATTAGCAATGATAAATGTTCAAGAATTACATCACCGTCAAAGAAATTAGAGTGCCCACATCCTACAGAACAAGTAAGTACCTTGTAGCGTCTGACATTGAATGCTCCATTCCCTGGGTTTCTTAACTCTTACTGTCATCATTAAAAAACAGAAAATACAGGAAACGGGAGAATTTACTCTATCTAGTATCATAATTTGGAATACAATTACTATTTTTCTCTCATTCTCTTCTTGGTTAGTCTAGAATGTTCTCAAGTTTTAATGGAATGTTATTTTTATAATCACCATTGTCTGGACATAGAAGCCATTCTTCTGAATTGATTTTGAATAAGTTTGTGTCTGGCACCTTGTGTTGCCTTTGTGGTGAGTTGGCTTGCAAATGAGATTTTTGAAAGGAAATTATGAATTTCTGTTTTACTTCAAAACTTTAAAGAAGAGTTAGACAACTCTGCACACTTAACAGTTATTTCATAGAAGGGAGGCAATGTAATGATTGAAGAGATTAGAAAAATACACATCTAAAGTGCAGTACCACCAATTTACAGATTTAATGATGAAGGAACCTGAGTTCTAGCAGGTTATTTTGGTTCTTGATCTAATACAGGAGGAGAGAAGGTTCTTATCCTTTGCCTTTCAGTTAACATCCTTCATGTCAGGTAGAAAGCATACAGTTTTATGCTAAGTCTTTGTGTGAGGAGCTTCTAAACTCATGAATTTCAGGTTGATTTCAATGATTTTGCTTTCTTGCCTTAAAAGACTTGTGTTCAAGTTGCTTTGTAGTTTGTTTCTCACCCTGCCAGTGACTTCTGTGACTTTTGGTGGGCAATTACTGGTTAGGATCACATTTGTTAGTATGGAATTTTTAGCTACTGTGTTTTTTTCTTTCATTTCTAAGACCAGAGAAAGACCATTTATGTAGAAACCACAGGTGTGTAAAAGGCAGGCAACCCAAGGTACCTGTGGTGGTTGAATTAGTGTTAAGCAAAATGAACTCTTGTCTTTTTCCATCCCCTCTCCTTGAAGAAGCCAGCAGAACATGTGTGTCTGTCCAGTCCAGCTCCCCTTCTGGTGTCTCCAGAGGTACATCTAACTCCTGCCGTGCCTTCTTTACCAGCCACTGTGCCAGCCTGGCCAAGTGAACCTACAACTTTTGGACCAACAGGTTAGATAAAACTTTTAAAAGTTCAGTGAATCAACCAGCAAAAGCCTTCCAAGTCTTGAAATTCTTGAGTGTGAGCTTGACCTCCGAGCAGGATTAGGTGTGTGGAGCCTCCCAGAGCACTGCCCTGCTTCCAGCTTCGTGTGGCGCTCCTTTGAGGTACGCCCTTACAGTCTCGCCAGCAGGTGTGTGAGCTCTGGTTGCCCAGTGCTGGCAGCACAGTTTTCACCCCCGTGGGCCAGCTCTCTGCCGGGCCCCGTGTCTTGTTCATAAGAGCTGTTATGAGAAGATACTGACTCAAAGCTTGTTTTCTGGGTGCTTATTTCCTCCTTTGTGTCCAGGAGCGTGTTTGGTTGACATTAGCACTTCCTTAGATTTCTTAAACACACAGCGTTTTACTAGCTATACAATTTTATAGCATTCTTCACCTTTTAGCTTAATGCAAACTTAACATTTGTAGAGAATTATTTTTACCTCTTTATAGCTTTTGATTCCTTTCCCTTTCTTTTGTAGGTGTCCCTGCTCAAATTCCTGTTTTGTCAGTGACACAGACTCTGACCACTGGACCTGATTCTGCTGTGTCCCAGGCTCATTTAACACCCTCTCCAGTTCCTGTGTCAATACAGGCCGTTAACCAGCCCTTGATGCCTTTGCCTCAGACACTGAGCCTTTACCAAGACCCACTCTATCCTGGGTTTCCTTGTAACGAAAAGGGAGATCGAGCCATTGCACCACCTTATTCACTGTGTCACACTGGGGAGGACCTGCCTAAAGGTGAGCTCCTTCTCCGAGTTCAAGTTGATTTTATTTATCAAGTACTGATACAGGTTCAGTGAGAAATGTAAGTAGAGGACAGAGGTCATGTTGCTGAGTAAGCCAAAGGACTTGCTTGGGGAGGACAGCAGAGGTTCAGCTGTTAGTCACTCATCACTCCTGTTTCAGCTTCCGTTTGATTGGTGTTTTTATATGTTTAGTAATGTATAAACTATTATTTATAGCAGCCGCCCCTCCCCTTACTCCCCTGCCCCTGTCATTTTTTCAAAAACAGTCTGAAAGCATTTTGAATTAAATCTTAATAGTGTTACTAACCAGATAACTACACAGTACTGAGTTTTCACATCAGTGGTTTGGTGTTTGGAAGTACTCATATTACTTCATCCATGAAAAAACTGTAGAGGAGAATGAATAGAAAACCTAATAGCTGTCATTATAGTACTGCGTGCAATAGTATATATTTTTGAAGGAATTCTTTTTAAATTCGTCTTTTTTTTTTTTTTTAAAGAAAGTGTAGTTTGCAAAATTTCCTATTTGAAAAGCTGAAGGAATAATGTAGTGACTCTCTGTGCTCTTTACTTGGATTTTTGTGGATAATTTTCTTTTATTAGTCAGTGGTTTGATGTTTGTGTCTGTGGGTAACTGGCTAATGTCAAATGAATACCTGAGCTAGTATTATCCTACTAATCTTGTTAATGATTTAGGTTTATATTGATTTTTACTCTCACCCCCAACTTTTTTATTTCATAATATTTTAAACCCCACAGAGAAGTTGAAAAAGAAATGCAGTGAGCACCTGAGATTTAAGTTTAGTCATAAAAATCTCAATTTAAGCCATTTTGGGGCACGGCTGTTAGACTAGATAAAGCATGTTGAATCTGGAATTACCCTGCAGTAACAGAGTCTGGTTTTGGTTATATTACAATTTTTAATATATGTTTTATATCACAGGCTAGAGAAAAACAATTCAAGTAGGCAAAATTGTCCTTAGAACTATATATCCTTTGAGGGTAACGAACAATAGCTTTTTATGAATGTGTAATTTTAGTGAGTGATGATGTTACTTATTTTCAGATAAGAACATTCTTCGATTCTTCTTCAATCTTGGTGTAAAGGTATTTACATTTTATCATTTTGAAGTGATTTTAAGTTATTTAAGTTAATACTGTTTTAAATTATTACCATTTAAATAATCTTAACTCTTATCCTGTTGGTCAATAACCTAAGGTTTACTAAAGCTCATTATTTTAAGAAGTAACATTTTCAGTACCACATAGTTTGTCTTTGGTGGTGATTGCGGCCCCAGTATTTGCTTGCTTTTTCTTTTAATTGGCAGTGGTGTAACCCTGTGAGTATATTTGGGAAACAGCCTAATGGAAGTGCTCCTGTGAGGAATTAGGTGAAAGGGCTGGATTTGAAATTCTGCTCCTGCACTTCATATCTGTATGGCCCTGGGCAAGGCATTGAGGGTGTCTGAGCCTGGCTGTTTTCATTTATGGAACGGGGAGGATGCTCTTCTGTCTGCCTCAGTTGCTTGAAAGGCTGAGAGGAGGCCACCCGTGGAAGGTGGAACTCACTAGCAGAGCAGAGCTCCCTGCGGGAGGTGATCAGCCTGGAGATGGCTTGTCTTAGAAGGAGCTGGAGAACTCTGTTCTTGTCAGTGCGGTGTTGTCTGCTGTCTTGGATTCGTTTCTGTGGGTTCTAGACTGTTAATACATGAAATGAAGTGCCCTACCGTGTGTGGCCTATGGACCAGTTCATAAAAGGAGACTTGATTAATTTCTCCATCTGCTGCATTCATGCGTAGTTTACATTTGTCTAGTTCATGTTGGCTGTAGCTGATCGGTTAATTAGCCAGCTGTCTGGTGAATTTTTCTTCGTGTTTTGGTGTTTAGCTGAACCTCTTGCAGGGGAAGGATTTGGAGTACTTCATTTTCGGTATTTATCCTTATCTGACTAGAGGTCTGACTTTAATCCTTGCAGTTGGATTGCTCTGGGACCTCCTCTGACTGTGGAGTCCAAATGTCGGGGGTCACCTACTTCTGTACCAGCGTTTTCATGGTAGAACACGTCTAGACTAGGTAACTAGTTGGCACGGGGTCACACATTGAGTTAGTGGTAGAGCCAGAACATGAATGAATGCAGGTCAAGCTAAACAGCCAGTGATCGAGAGACCGGAAGTTGGAGGCTCAAGTGCTTGATTGATGGTGGTTGTTTCTGAGATCTGTATCACCCCAGATTACTTCTGTGCAGTTAGATCTAAAGGATGGAATCAATGATCATGATAATCTGTAGGTGGGTTCATAACTCTGTCTCCTTTCAAACCTCTGTAGCGGGACTTGGAGTTGGTTTCAGGGTAGGAACAAGGAATGGAGTCTCATAGCCGTGACTTAATTTTGGAATTCCTTTGCATGTTGTGTATCAGAGTGATCTAGTATTTGGACTGCAGTTTATGGTCTTTGCAGGCATGAGAAACTTGTCTTGAGCCCACTCTGAACTCCTCCCCGCCCCCCGTATTGTTTATCTTACTGGTTTTCTTTGTCTTTTGTAGGCATATAGTTGCCCTATGTGGGCCCCGCATTCTTACCTGTACCCTCTGCACCAGGCCTACCTGGCAGCCTGCAGGATGTACCCAAAGGTCCCTGTCCCTGTGTACCCTCAAAACCCTTGGTTCCAAGAAGCTCCGTCTGCTCAGAATGAAAGTGACTGTGCCTGTCCGGACGCGCACTTCCCCGTGCAGCCTGAGGCCAGTGTTAACGGTCAGATGCCACAGGCAGAGATTGGACCGCCGACGTTTTCTTCAACCCTGGTCATCCCTCCGTCGCAGGTGTCTGAAAGTCACGGACAGTTGTCTTATCAGGCCGACCTGGAACCTGAAAACTCTGGGCAGCTTCTTCACGCTGAATATGAAGAGTCGCTGAGCGGCAAGAACATGTTCCCGCAGCCATCTTTTGGACCGAACCCGTTCTTAGGCCCAGTTCCCATCGCACCTCCTTTCTTTCCTCACGTTTGGTATGGGTACCCTTTTCAGGGATTCATAGAAAATCCAGTAATGAGGCAGAATATTGTTCTGCCCTCTGATGAGAAAGGAGAATTGGATCTGCCCCTGGAAAATCTGGATCTTTCTAAAGAATGTGCTTCAGTTTCAGCAGCAGACGAGTTTCCCGAGGCTGGAGGTGAAGACACCCATCCTCTCCCTGAAGCCAGTGTGAGCGAGCACGGAGGCCAGGCAGAGCAGTCATCCCAGACACCTAAGGCAGAGCTGGCACTGGCTCCCGTTCCTCCTGTAGCAGAGGGAAAGGCTCATCTTCCCACTCCGATCCTAAACAGAGAGAGAGAAACTGTGCCTGTTGAACTTGAGCCTAAAAGGACCATTCCGAGTCTGAAAGAAAAAGCAGAAAAAGTGAAAGATCCTAAGGCTGCTGCCGACGTGGTCAGTGGGGCCAGCTCTGTGGACAACAGGGTGCCGAGACCAAAAGAAGAGAGCTCAGAGGATGAAAGCGAGGTGTCTGACATCCTGAAAAGTGGTCGATCCAAGCAGTTCTATAATCAGACTTACGGAGGCAGGAAGTACAAAAGTGATTGGGGCTATTCTGGTAGGGGGGGCTACCCTCATGTGAGAGGGGAGGAGTCCTGGAAAGGGCAGCCAAGCAGGAGCCGAGATGAAGGTTATCAGTACCATCGGAATGCCAGAGGACGGCCCTACAGGGGGGATAGGAGGAGGTCAGGGCTGGGAGATGGCCATCGCGGACAGCACACTTGATGGTGTTGCTGCGGCATTTTAGAGCAGAAGCCCTTTCTTAGGTGGAATGTTTCTGAAGTCTTTGAAAAAAACAACGTTAAAATAAAAACCCAAATTGGAACTCTCTCCTCCCCTCCCCCTTTACCCTCACTCTCATTCTGGACAAGAGATTTTGGATATGCGTTTAAGGGGGCAGGTGAATTCCTGGTGTTGCCATTTTTCTTCGTTCAAAATCTGTCTATTTATCGGGTGACTGCCCCCATAAAAAGTAAGAAATGTTTGTTAAAGTATTTTTTATAAACAGCTTAATATAAAACATTATAGATTTAGTGTTTGATTTTTTTCCTTATATAAGTTTAATTTTCAAATGTTGGAAATGTGTGCTTTATAGTGTTTACTAAAGTGACAAAATACATCATTTGACACACGATAGATTCCAAAACATAACGTTGCACCAAATAGAAATGTATATTTTATTATGCAATGCCTTAGTCATAAACTGGGCTCAAACAATTCTTTGCCTAAAACACTGTTGTCTTTTGAAATGCTTCCAACCCAAAGGCCTTTCATCTCAATATCTGTCAAACTTGAATAATGTCTTCTCTTTAATATTACACATAAGGCAGCCTATTAACCTGTGTCTTAGAAATGTTGTATATAGTTCTTTTAATATTCATAGGGTATATTTTTGAATTTTGGTGAGTATTTGTTGAACTTGAGATTGCATACAAGAATAGATGTTTAAGAAATAATAGGAAATCTAATGAAATGGCTGTTTCCACCAAGAATTCTTAGCACTGGTGTAAATATCATGGTGCCTACTCGAAAGAAATGTAGATGCTATGCATTTTGAAAATAATCTGCATCTGTTAAAACTGCAGAAGTTTTTTAATGCCACTTTAACACTAATGCACTGACAGATTTAAATATTTTGTGAGAAGAAATGTTAAAAATTTTTAGCTTGACAGGTTTCTATAGAGTTACTGTGTTTCATTTTTCCCTTCGCACCACACTCAGTTATGTGTACCACTTTACATTTGCATGTTCAATTTGTCGCGGCTGGAACTATTGTACAAAAAAGGATGATTGTGACTTTGAGTTCTTTTCTAGAGGATGCTGCTAGACAGTGGATTTGTTTGCATTTAATAGCTTGTCACCCCTTCGGTAACATGTCTCTGATTCTGCTTCCTTCCAGTCTCTTGCAGTATTCACTAGACTTTCCCTTTGCATGTTGCACTCTGTTCCCATTTGGAGATTTGATTCTCTGAATTAACACAGTATTCATTCATCTGTGTTACTATGTAAAAATAACTGTAGCTTATATTTCTTATTTGTACATACCAATGTGAAGTTCTACCCTTTTTTATGTTCTGCTTTGATCAGGAAGTTTTGAGTGCTATGCAAATAATATAGTAATTTCTCTTTGCATGCCATGTATAATATACCTAGCCAAAAGTAGATTTTTTTTTTTTTTTTAAAGCAATTACTTTAAAAGCAAATACAATTCACTTGAATTTGACAAACTGAAGCAGATGAGTTTTCTGGGTTCTCTGATAACCTATGGGAATGTTTGGATGCCAGCTAGGCTCAGTGAAATCTCCACTGTACTGTAATAATGATTATTTACCTCTGTGTTGTTTTAATTACCTAATGTCTTTGTAACTGCTGATTTGAGTAGTGATTAGTGTGTAGATGTTTTGTAACATAGGATTTTAGAGAGCACTTTGAAAGATAACATTTTATTATGATGGTGCTAGGTAAAAATTTGTAAAGACTGGGATGGTTGTGTGGAAAAGAAAAAAATTCTTGAGAGAACCTGTTGAAAGGAATTTCTGTTGTCACCTTCTAAGCGAGAACAACTGGGGAAGGTACTGCTTAAGCAATTTTTTTCTTAGTTAACATCAACAGTTGTTACGGAATGAGAAGATGAGAGGGTCCTCCACTTTCAGCTCATGCTTGTATATGTAGGATTAGCTTACCTGATAATTTTAATGAAAATTACATTAGATATAATGACCAGATTTTAAAGTTCAATGTAAGTTTGATCTCAGGAGTCCAAAAGAAATCGCTATTTCCTGTGTCCTTTGTTTTATTGACTGGGATTTGATCGTCCCAGTTTCTTCTCGAAATGTTTAAAAATTGGATAGGAAAGAATACTGTTTATTTCTTCATTGTCACTCTGTCTTACCTCAGTTGAGTAACAGAATACTCTATAGTTCCTGAAGGAAATGCCGATTTGCTTCCTGTTTCCCATACTTACCTCCAGGACATGATGGAAACAGTGCTGAAAGAGAACTTTAGCAGTTGGTACTTTACTCAGTGACCTCTGGAATAAGAATAAAAGAGCTGACTTTTGATTATTAGTTTTAAAATTATCTGTCTTTACGTGAAGGTCAGTTTTGTTTTTTTCCTTTAGGCTTGTTATCAATATATTAGTCCAGGGGTTTTGCCTTATGCTGAGGTCACACTAGGGCCAAGCAAGCTTTTGTCCTCCTTCGTTTTTACTGAGTCGTGTGGTATGTTGACATGAGATAAAATGTTTTCAGAGAAGAGCAAAAGCTTAGAAGTGAGAATCATTTGTATTTTGAGTTGGAAATTATGGAACTTATTCTATTATGATACACATTTTGAAGAACAAATGTTTAGAATGACCAAAGCTCACCTCTTCTTTTCATTTTAGTTGCTTTTGCTAAACTTGATTCCAGCCCCTTTCCTTTTAGCATTGTGTATATTTCTCTTCTTCATTTCCTCTCAGATAAATCTTCAATTCTTGCTCCACATACCTGTTGGTGGCAGGATACTAGCATCTGTTTCCTCATCCTGTTTCCTGGTAACCTGTATGTTCATTTTCATGGCTGACCTAAGCTCAGACCCTGCCTTGGCCTGGCAGGAGTAGGTTTTCCCTACTGATACTTTATCGTATTTGATGCAGACTGTATATATTCTTGCAGTGTGTTTCCTTTGTGACTCAAGGTTGAATAATGCCTGTGAACTGCAAACTTGCTTATGATTGACTTGGTGCAATAAATTTCCTTTCTAACCATTTCTGGTTTAGAAAACATTCAGCCATCCTAGAAACTAGCAATATTTATTTATGCCTCATTTATTTTACCTTAGTCTTTCACTTATGGGTACTAAGCAAGGTCCATTTTAGTGTAGCTGAAGAGACTACATATTTGCATATTTGGCTACACTATTTCTGTTTACTGTAATTTGCTTCCTATTTAATGTCTAGATGCTATTGTGTTGTTTCCAATCTTAATGGCTCAGTTCCAGTGTATCAAAGAACTAAGGTTTTGCTACTAGTGGCAGCCACTCACTCTCCCACTATTTGGGATTTCCCACTAATTTAGGTTTTTTCCTCCCCTGAAATACAAATTTTAGAAAAATCCTACAAGAGGGATGGGTGCATGTCTTAATGCTGGGAAACAGCGACTTTGGGGTTGAATTTACTTGAATGGATTAAAAATTGCATTGTTACAGAGCTAGAAAAAAATTTATGTATGAAAAATGATAATAGCCTTACACTGAGTACAAATAATACTTAAAGCATGTGAAGATGTGATCATTTGTGATGTTACTTGTAAAAAAAAAAGTATATACATCTTTTGAAGTGTTGAAAGGAAAATAGTACTTTATATTCTTTATCATATCACTTTTTGTAAGTGTTGAATATATTCCTGTTTATTTTTCTATGTTCTGTTTTGTAGCCTTAAGAAGTGTTTCAAACATATCTGAATGTATAAAATAAGAGTAAATGCCCTACATGGTGTGATGCTGCATTATATATAAAACTGTGTGCATATATTAAATTTTGTCTCTTGATTCTGCTTGTGATTCTTTGGTTCTAGGGCTTTAACCAGGTAATATAGCATATAAACCTTAAGAGGAGTTTAAGGAAACTCCTAAAATTAAGAGTTGTTTGCCATGGTTTTTACCCAGTCAGAAAATCTAGTGTGTGCAATGAAACACCACCCGGGGTTTATCATCTGTGAGGTAAGTGCTGTTCTTTTCCCTACGTTACATATATAATAAAACGGGGGTCATGCAACTAGTAAGTGGTAGATTTGAATTTGAACCTAGCTCTGAGTGGTTTGAGAGCTAGTCCTGTCATTTTTCTCAGCAGTCAGTAAATGAAATGGGGATGTGTAGAATAACTTATAAATGACTCCGTTTTTTTAAGTTAAACACTGAAAGTTTTATTTGAAAACAGAGGTAGCAAGTATACTTAAATACTTTGAAAACCCAAGTTTCTTAAGGCTGTATTTCTTCATTAAATCAAGTCGCCTAAGAATATTGCTAGTTAATACTCATTTAACCTACTCTGGACTTTCTCAGAGTGGCTTTCTCAGGTAGCAGAGCCTGAAACAAAGGCTTCATTCAGCACAGGGTTTGAGAGACAGGTGACTTAGGTGCAGGGGCAGCAAGCTGGGAAGGGGTATCCCAAGTCCTATAGGCCCGTTTGGGGCTGCCTGAGAAGGTGAGTGAACTATCACAGAACCTTGGAGGGATCAGAGGGAGAAAGGAAGGAGGAAAAGGAGGAAGCATTTCTCTGTTAGCTGTGTTGAGTGCCAGCACCTCTTCCCACGGAGTTGATAGGGAAGAAAGCAAGCAAGATGTCTGCTGATGCTGGCTGAAGCCCTTGCAGAACTGGACACTCGATGTGGATGGATAAGGTGAGACCGGTTAACCAGTGGGCCACAAGAAGTGTCTCATGCCGGGTTTCCCTAATAAAAGTTTTCAGAGAAAAGCACAATGGTCTGCTTTGCATTTTGAGTATATTTGTTTTACTTTCACTTGTTGACTCAAGTGCAGGTCTAGAGAATGATACGAGGATGTAAATAAACTGCAAAAGAGAAAGTAAACACAACTTCCCTTCACGGCCCATAATTTATAAGCTTTTCCAAAAGTGAATCATGCACTCCTCAGAATAGTGAAGCTACAGTTGTTGGTATGAACATCAAGAGTTTTCTAGATCCTCCGAGTTCAAAAAATTCTGTAAGCTAGTTTCATTAAAAAAAATAAATTTATTTATCTTTGGCTACGTTGGGTGTTCGTCGCTGCACGCAGGCTTTCTCTAGTTTGCGGTGAGCAGGGTCTACTCTTTGTTGCGGTGCACAGGCTTCTCATTGCGGTGGCTTCCCTTGTGGAGCACGGGCTCTAGGAGTGCAGGCTCTAGTTGTGGCGCATGGGCTTATTAGTTGCTCCGCGGCACGTGGGATCTTCCTGGACCAGGGCTCCAATCCATGTCCCCTGCATTGGCAGGTGGATTCTTAACTACTGTGCCACCAGGGAAGTCCACTAGTTTCTTTTAAATGAAAACCTTGGTTTTGGATTAAACGCCTTTGGGTAAAGTAAGAAACAAAGTAATGCTATGCCTATCTAGGGATGTGCCTGTTACTGTGTAACTTAGTTCTTTGCAGGGGCCAAAAATGGAGACCAGAAACCAGAGGGCACAAACATGAAGTGACACTAGTGCTCTGCTCCACGAGAAGGGACAGATTGTCATGGTTGCCAGTCTCATTAGCTGAAAACTTGTAGGTACGGGGGACAGACTTGGGCACATGCAGGGTTGGGAGCTGGAACTATCCACTACAATCTGCCTGTATTATCCTTTCCTCTCACTAAGCTCTTCAGTGCGCATGCTGACTTGTCTCTGACCTGTGTTCTGGTTCACATGGATTTTCTTACCATTTTTATCATTATAGGTGCTCCTTTCCCTGGGAGCTGCCTCCTTCATGTAGCTCCCACCCAGAACTATTTCTCTTCTGAACCACGTGGTGCTCACAATACACCAGGCACTGGGGTTGAGGGCTTGACATATGTGTATCTAAATGAATGAGTGAAATTATAGAACCAACTAAGTAGTTATCTATCCATTCTTTCTACAGAAACACACAACCTCTATGGCAAGTAGATTCATTCCTTCAATACAGTAGGCAAACAAACAAACGCCAGACACCAAACTGCACATTGAATCTGTAAGCAAGAGAGAAAGCACTGGACGACTTCCAAGATGCTATGGTGTAAAATTAGGTTAACTTAAATTACATAGATACACTTTTTGTAAAGACTGCTGCACACTAGGTTGATTATAAACAATTTATATGTACAAAATTTAAATTCAAAAGGTAATGGGTGTATAATATGTCTCCTTTATTCCCTGTTCTTAACCATCAAGTTATCCTTCTCAACTTTCTTGAGTATCCTTTTGTGTATTTTAGTATTTTGTATATTTTCATATAAACGGTGTATTACAATAAATTATGTGGCACCATGCTTTTTTGCTTAGAGATTTTTTCTAATCAGGATATACTGAGCAATTTCATTCTTTTCAATAGCTAACATCTACATTCATGTATTTGAGTTGGTAACAGATTTTATTAAAAAAACCCTTTTCCTTGTGTTAACAATTTTAAGTCCTTTTCTACTGCTATACAAAATTTTAAGTAACATGTAAATCTGTTTTAAAATTTTCATTTACATGAAAAATAATACAACTGATATTTTATCAGCAGTAAGTAGAAAGAACTGTGCTCTTATAATACAGATATTTTAAGGACATAATACAGAATCAGTAAATAAAAACAGCTTTTGTCTTATTTTATTCAATACATTTGAAATAATGATTCACAAATTTAACCTATCTTTAAAAATAGGCAATACTTATTTTAGTATAATCCCATTTATGTACAAAACAAACCCTTTACATATTCACAGTTAAGTGCACAGAAAAAAAGCATGAAAGGATATATATTATTAAACATAAACACTGGTAACATTTGGGAGGGTAAAATAAAGGGAAATCATAACTCTATTCCATATATTTCTGTAATATTTGAAAATTTCACAACAGACATGTATTTATGGATTACTCAGATAAAGCAATATTTTTAAAAGGCCTAATGGGGCTTAGTTAAACCATACTTTCTATCCACTGCATATTAATTAAAGCTTCTATTGTTTCAAGAAGCTCTAAAAGTTTGTTCAATAATTTCTCGTTTTCCTAAACGCTTCTCACTTGTAGTGTAAGTTAGTTCCAGCTCAGCGCATTAGGCAGAAGTATAATTGAAAGTGGTTTTACACTACAGGTATCCCACTGTTCAAGAAATTTGGATAAGTCTTTAGAACTCCAGCTACACACTATCCAAAACTAAGAAAAAAAAGTCAAATAGATAATATCCTTTATATCCAAACCTGGAAATGAATATATTTGGTACCAAGGGATACTCTGTATTGCTATCTGGGGACCGCTTTGCGTTAATGTTGCCTTTAGGTAAGTGGCTCACAGTCCTTGGCCGCCCATCAGAAATCTCTGGAAATTTAAAAATACACAGATGCTTAGGGACCAACTCTAAAGATTTTGAACCTATACTGTATTTTTAAAGGAAACAAATATTCTTTAAAATGCTTTTTCCAAAATCTTGATCAGTGATTACATAAAGTATGTTTACAGAATGACATTACCTTGAGAATAATTACAGAATATAGAATCTCATGAAATGCTACATCTAATTCAGAGTAAAGTTAGGATTTATTTTTGGTGGGGGGGGGGGGGTTGAAATTATTTTTTTGCTAAAGATATTCAAAAGCACCAAAAACATTGTCAACAATGCTTAAGTCGGTAATAGTCTTTTCCCAGCAGTGGTGTTCTGTAGCAGATAATCTTCCTTTGAAAGTCTAAACACATTGACAACTTAATGCAAAGACTGAAAACAAACATATATAATCCTCATGTTTATTTATCAAATTTCATCAGTGGTGTCATCGACCGTCTTTTAAAATAAGGGCAATTTCATTATAGTGGCATACCTGGCAAACCATGTAAGTACAGAAACCTTTTTCAAGATTTTTAAAAGGGGGCAACACTGCTCAGCATTTGGTACCTGTACACCTACTGAGTATCTTCCCATACATCATGAAAACTTGGAGGTAATTTGTATAGCCTGAAATGTCTTCATTTTAGAATGTTACGCACAAAAAGGGCCTTATCATCAGAACAGAGAAGTGGCATTTGCCGTATTCAGACTACAATTTAAAACACAACTGGCTTTATGTTACAGTAAGTAAATTATACTTCAAACTCCAGAGCATGTGGGACATAAAACCTGACCTAAGTTTTATATGACAAAAATCCCAGTAAATGTTTCTTTTAATAAATGGCTTATTGATATTCTCAGATTCACTCTAATCATCCAAGAAAAAGTAGTTTCCACTCTTCTTTTGTTCTACATCCTAAAAAATAAAATAGAGAAGCAATAAAAATCAACACCATTCTCCTATACGTAAGGGTAGGGTAGACTTTCACCTGCAGAATTACTTAGCAGTGTTTATAAGTGTCTATACAACCTCCTCTGCACTCACTGGCTGCTTCTGGATATGCCTGGTTCCACTACTTAAAGGCAAGATTACTATCTCTGCTACCCATCCCTACTGCCTGGACAACCTTCCTGCTGCACACCTCATACAAAATTCCATTACATAAAATACTTAAACATATAAAATTTTGTTATATAAAATACTGTTTCCAGAAAAACTATTAAATTCCATTTTCATCATTTTAACTTTAAGCTTCTGGTAAAAAGGTAACACTGGCAGTTTGAGAACTGCCTATTACACAAAAAGTATATAAAAATAATTTTTCCCAGCACTGTTTACAGACTGGCCAGTAATGATCCATCTACCTACTTGCCTAGCTGCTTGCTCCCTTATTAGGATTGAGGTATGACCATCTAGGATGAGTGGATATAGAGAAAATGATAAGTGTACCTGGGGACTGAACTAAGTCTCTACCCAAGAAAACTACAACACAAAGTGTTTGTAATGCTTCAAAAGAAATTCTTATGAAAATTAAGCTGTGCATAATAAGTGTTCTAACATTTAGTTCCTCTCTTCTGCTTAATATGCTTTTCAAAACTGAGAAAACTCTTCAAATTTAATTTAAAACTTGCCATTTCATTATCCTGGCCAGAGAGTAAACATTTATAAACAAAATATACAGTGAAGGCTAAAGGCACCCAGATATTATGTTAGATGCTTAAGTATACATGATGTGCACCATGTCTCTGCCTTCTAAGAGGTCACATTTTAGTAGCGAAGCTAGAGGAGGACAAATAAGAAAGGACAGTATGTGTAACATACTTCTAAAGCTTCTAAGTATTAAGGACGATGGCTAGAGGGCCATGAAATGTAAGCAGGATTTTAAAGAGGCACTGCAGGGATACCAGAAACACAGAAATGCTTTTTTAGCATTCATTTTTCTTTTTTTGAGAGATGAAGAAATGACTATCTTCTAAAAACCACACATTTCACAGACTGTATCAAGTGTAGGGTGCAAAATTATTTTACATACTACAAAGAAAAAAAACCCACTGACAATTTAACTGACAAAATGTTTTTTCATTGTTTAGGATTTAATGCTCATTGAAGAAGTCTGTTTAGACTCTTAAAATATGCATTTTAATCATGTGTTGCTCTTCTGCGTGCACAAAAAGAAAATGTGTAAGAAATATTGATTAAGGTATTTGTAAAAACTTCTGTTTCAAGTGTAATCTTTCTGAAGACATTAAATGGCAAACTCAACAGAAGCAGTATAACAGTGGGTGCAACTCTAACAGACAATGCAGCAATGGCAGCTACATCACAATTGCTGCCTATCAGACTGAAGTATGCCATCAGATACTAAAATGTGAAAAACATGAATCTTAGAATTAATGAAATGACATAAGATTTTAATGACACAGCCTTCAATTTAAAACATGCTTTTCAATTATTTACGCTGAGAAGTTATCCGTGATTTAAGGTAATTTTTCTACATACCTTAATTGAATTGAGTTTGTTTATTCTTGGCCTATAGTTGTTTGGATCTCTTCTGAATGTAATTTCAAGCTGAGACAAAAATTTATTCATGCCAGCCAAAAGTGTTTGAGGACTAGGGGAAAAATAAAATCTATCAGTTGTGATTGACTTTTACCCCCCCCCCCCAGTTTAATTACTTTTTTAGGATGAAGAGTATATTACGAATCACTGTTCCCTCTAATTCCCCAATCATAAGTCATCTGGATAACAGTATAGTCACAGTACATTATAAAGTCTATATTCAGAAATGTCTTTGCTTGGACTATGTACTTTGTTTGGCTATATTTTTATGCAAAAGAAACACAGTTTAAAGTGCTTCTGATCTGGAAAGAAAGTCAGCGAGAAGTACTGCTTTAGAAAAATAATTTGATTGAAGAATTTCAAATCTAAGATATTTAGGGGAGAACAGAATTTAACAGAAAAGGTAATACTTATGTTAGAAATTTGGCACAAAGCAATAGTACAACATAATGGTGTTTAGTAATAACACCTTTTAAAATTTCTATACTTTATTCATCTTCTCTCACCCAAACTAGTTCTTAAATCATGTTAAGTCTTATCATACATGTGGAACATTTTAAGCATTTTGTAAATACAAAGGGAGGATCACTATTTGAATAGCTTTATATAGTCTAAGAAATTTCCCTAACAAAGAAGTTATGTTATTTTCAGTAATTGATACATAAATTTTAAATAGAAAAAAAAAAAGAATTCTAAGAAGTTTAGTACTTCTATTCCTTGGATGAATTATTCAAATAGTAAATCCATTCCTCCCTAAACCAGCAAACATTATGTTGGAATCAAATGAACTTGCTGTTTTTACAGGTCAAATGGCTGAATATCAGGAATTTCATACAGTTCAACCTAATAAGGTTTCAGCACTAAAAGTATAAAAGATTTCTCATAAAAAAAATTTCCCATAAACTAGTGTGAAAGTTCTTTATATTACAAGTACTTTCAATCAAGCCAATAAGGAAAAATGAGAGAAAAGGGGGACGGAGGAGGTAAAATCATTCATTTTTAACTCTGCTGTACATTAATACCAGATATTTGGGGTGTAGTGAGCTTTACCACTAGCGGTGTAAATGGGGCAAATCACGCATCCAAATAATGAAACAGACAAAACTGAACCTGAAAGAAAAGGTGAGGGGCCCAAACTTCCACATACTTATTCCCCTGGGTCAGGAGTTTACCATAGTCTAAAAAACGCTATTCTACCCAGGGCCATCCAGTACCGAATATGAATAATCTTGGGAGTTACAAAATCATTTCTAGAATTTCTAGTTGTCTCTTTCATTATTAAAAATGAAAACAGTATGACTAATGTCTATATGTTGATTGGAAAATTTAAAATAATTTTCTGGGGAGATTCAAGATGGCAGAGAGTAGGTGGACGTGGAGTTGCTCTCTCTCCACGGATGCATCAGGAATACATCCATAGATGCAACAATTCTCACAGAACACCAGCCAAAAACTAGCAGAAGACCTTGGACACTGGAAAGGAGTATAAAGATCCCTGCATAACTGGGTAGGATGGAAAAAAAGAAGGAAGAAGGGGAAGAGGAAGCCAGATGGGACTGCATGCTGGGGCGGGGGAACTGAAGCAGAGGAGAGATTCCAGAATTTGGGGAAACCTCCTCTATGATGGGGAAATTGATTGGGACAGAAGGGAAGCAACTGAGGCTGCTGGAAGAGGGTGAAGCTGCTGATCCGTAGCAGACAGGACAGAGTAAGAAATACACAGATGGTCCATACAGTGGCCCTACGTGACCCAGACTGGGATGTGTGTTCACAGGTGTGCAAGGGGGCTGGGAGCTGGTGTGTGTGGGGATTGGAGAACAGGCCCAGAGCAAGAAGTGCTGTTGGCTGTGGGAAGATGGACCGAGGGGACGGGAGGGAAAAAATCCGCAGCAGGGAATGCCTATGGAGGAAGACTGCACTGCCATGGAAGCAGGGCACTACTGCTGAGTCCCACGCAGGGGGAGGAGCCACTATTGTAACCTCTCTCTCCCCACGTTGCTGCCTGCCAACGACAATAAAAGAAGCCCGCTCAGGGCTGGTTCTTGTGCGCTGGCTGCTGAGACATAAAAAAGCCCCCCTCAGAGATGGCCCTCACGTGCCGGCTGCAGGGCAATTAAAAAAAAACCACCACCACCCTCTCAGGGCTGGCCCTCACATGCCTGCTGCCAGGTGTTGGAAAAACCCCATCCAGGGCTGGCTCTCAGGTGCCTTATGCTGGGCGCCGGAAAAGGCCCTCACTAGGGCCATATCTCTTGAACTCACAGCCGCCGGCTCCCCTGTGCATTTGGTGCCGCTGGGGCTCCCGTGATCCAAGCAGCCATACCACCTCTGCACCTGGTCCTCACAGGGCCAGACCCAAGAGCTCCAAGACAGCCTCAGGACCAGACTCCTATGGGCGGACCACACACAGAGGTGGGGATAAAACCAAAGCTGAACCCCAGGGACGGGGCAACTAAGGAAGAGGACGGAAAATCTTTCCCCTGGCAGCATAAGCTGCAGATTAAATCCCCACGATCAGCTAGGAAGACCCTGTGTCTATGGAACATCTGAGTAGACCAATGAGTGTTCCCACAAATGAAAACAGTCCAGCTCTGGCAACTGTGGACTTTGGGGGCAGCACACGTGGGAACTGGGCCAGAGCTGGAGGGGGTCCCCAGGCCCACAGAAGGTCCAGAGACCAGCCCAGAGACAGAGGAGGGGCTCCTGGGGAGGTGGAAGGGAGCTGTGGCTCACAGTATGTGCAAGGACCCTCACAGCGGAGACCCCAGGGGAACAATTATTACTATTAATTTTATTATGCTTTGATTCATTCTGTTGTTGGTTCTAGCTTATTTTGTTTTTGGCTTGCTTTACTTTCTTTTTTTGTTTTGTTGTTTTAGATTTTTATTTAGTCTTTTGGGATCTCTGTTTTATAACATATTTTTATATTTTTTTGGTATATTATTTATATTTTTACTTTGCTTTTCTGTTGTTCTGTGTTCTTGTCCCGAATTTTTTTTCTTCAATATGTTTTTTAATATTTCCATTTCTTCTTTGCTTTTCTGTTGTCCTGTTTTTCCTTTTTTATTTTACTATTTTTTAAATCATTTTTATAGGTTTGTTTGGTTTCCTTACTTTATTATTCAGTGGGCACACTGCTTTCCTTTTGCTTTTATGTTATGTGTTTTTGTTAGTATTAATCCTAATTGTTTGATTTCATTTTTGAATTCTTCTATTTGGTTTTTCTCTTGCTTTTTTTGTTTTATTTGGCTGTTTTTGTTTCTTTTACATGTGTGTGTGTTTCCGTGTTTCTGTTTATTTTTGTTTGATTTTGTTTTTACCATTTCTCCAGGGTTTCGTTTGTCTTTTTTTTTTTAATACGTTTTCTATTTTGTCTTTTTTATATTTGTTTCTACACTGATTTTCTGTTGTCTTCTTTCCCCTTTTTGTTTTTTTAATATCATTTTTGTCTGTTTTGTTTCTTTGCTTCATTCTTCAGTTGGCACTCTGCTTTGGTTTCTGGTTCTTGTCAACTCTCTTCTTAATTGTTTGATTTCGTTCTTGGGTTCTTTTGTTTGTCTGGTTGTTCTCTTCCTATTTGATTTACTTGGCTTCTGTTTTTGTTTCTTTTGTGTGTGTGCACGTTTCCTTGTTTCTGTTTCTGTTTGATTATACTTCTTACCATGTCTGGGGTTTTGCTAGTCGTTTTTTATTTTTAAATCCCCTTTATTGCCAGGACGACTGACTTGCGAGGTCTTGGTCCCTTGAACAAAAGTCGGGTCTGAGGCTCTGGAGTGAGAGCAACGAGTCCAGGATGCTGGACCACCACAAAATTCCCAGCCCCAGGGAAGATTAATCTCCGAGAGCTCTCACGGAGGCCTCTATCTGAATCCAAGACCCGGCTTCACCCATTTGGCAGCAGCTCCCAGTACTGGACGCCTAACAACAAACAAGACAGGAACGCAAACCCACCCATCAGCACACAGATTACCTAGTCATACTAAGCTCACAGACACCCCAAAACATACCACCTGACACAGCCCTACTCATCAGAGGGAAAAGACTCAGCTTCACCCACCAGAACGCAGGCACCAGTCCCTCCCATCAGGAAGCCTACACAAGACACTGGACCAACCACACCACCAGGCAGAGAACAGAAGCAAGAGGAACTACGACCCTTCAGCCGAGGGAAAGGAGACCTCAAATAGCGTAAATTAGACAAAATGAGAAGACACAGAAGTATCTTACAGGCAAAGGAGCCATCTAAAAACCCACAAGACCAAATAAATGAAAAGGAAATAGGCAAACTACCTAAAAAGGAATTCAAAGTAATGACAGTAAAGATGATCCAAACTGTTGGACATAGAATAGAGAAAATACAAGAAACATTTAACAAGGACCTAGAAGAACTAAGGAGCAAACCAACAGTAATGAACAACACAATAACTGAAATTAAAAACACTCTAAAAGGAATCAATAGCAGAATAACTGAGGCAGAAGAATGAATAAGTGACCGGGAAGACAAAATGGTGGAAATAACTGCCGAGGAGCAGAGTAAAGAAAAAAGAATGAAAGGAAGACAATCTCAGAAACCTCCAGGACAACACTAAATGCACCAACATCCGAATTATAGGGGTCCCGGAAGAAGAAAAGAAAAAGGGTCTGAGAAAATATTCTAAGAGATTGTAGTTGAAAACTTCCCTAACATGGGAAAGGAAATAGTTACCCAAGTCCAGGAAGCAGAGTCCCATAGAGGATAAACTGAAGGAGAAACACACCAAGACACATATTGATCAAACTAACAAAAATTAAATTCAAAGAAAAAATATTAAAAGCAGCAAGGCAAAAACAAAAAATAACATACAAAGGAATCCCCATAAGGTTATGAGCTGATTTTTCAGGAGAAACTCTACAGGCCAGAAGGGAGTGGTAGGATATACTTAAAGTGATGAAACAGTAAAACCTACGACCAAGATTACTCTACCCAGTAAGGATCTCATTCAGATTCAACAGAGAAGTCAAAAGCTTTACAGACAAGCAAAAGTTAAGAGAATTCAGCACCACAAAACCAGCTTTGCAGCAAATGCTAAAGAAACTTTTCTAAGCAGGAAACAAAAAAGAAGAAAAAGACCCACAAAAAAAACCCCCGAACAATTAAGAAAATGGTAATAGGAACATACATATCAACAATAAACGTGAATGTAAATGGATTAAATGCCCCAACCAAATGACACAGACTGGCTGAATGGATACAGAACAAGACCCATATATGCTGTCTACAAGAGACCCACTTCAGACCTAGGGACACATACAGACTGTAAGTGAAGGGATGGAAAAAAGATATTACATACAAATGGAAATCAAGAGAAAGCTGGAGTAGCAATACTCGTATCAGTTAAAATAGACATTAAAATAAAGACTGTTGGGGCTTCCCTGGTGGCGCAGTGGTTGAGAGTCTGCCTGCCGATACAGGGGACACAGGTTCGTGCCCCAGTCCGGGAAGATCCCACATGCCGTGGAGCTGCTGGGCCCGTGAGCCACGGCCGCTGAGCCTGCGCATCCATAGCCTGTGCTCCACCACGGGAGAGGCCACAACAGTGACAGGCCCGCGTACCGCAAAAAAAATTAAAAATAATAAATAAATAAAAACTGTTACAACAGATAGGGAGGGACACCACATAATAATCAAAGGATCAATCCTAGAAGAAGATATAACAGTTATAAATGTTTATGCACCCAACACAGGAACACCTCAACACATAAAGCAAACGCTAACCGTGCAAGGAGAAATCAACAGTAACACAATAATAGTAAGGGACTTGAACACCCCACTTATACCAACGGACAGATCATCCAAACAAAATAAAGAAACATGAGCTTTAAACGACACATTAGACCAGATGAACATAATTGAAATTTATAGGTCATTCCATCCAAAAACAAAGGAATACACTTTCTTCTCAAGTGCACATGGAATGTTCTGCAGGATAGACCACATCGTGGGTCACAAATCAAGCCTTGGTAAATTTAAGAAAACTGAAATCGTATGAAGCATCTTTTCTGACCACAATGCTAGGAGACTAGATATCAATTACAGGGGAAAAAACTGTAAAAAATACAAACACATGGAGGCTAAACAATATGCTAGTAAACAACCAAGAGATCACTGAAGAAATCAAAGAGGAAATCAAAAAATAGCTAGAAACAAATGACAATGAAAGCACGATGACCCAAAACCTATGGGACAGAGCAAAAGCAGTTCTAAGAGGGAAGTTTATAGCAATACAATCCTACCTCAAGAAACAAGAAAAATATCAAATAAACAACCTACCCTTACACCTAAAGCAATTAGAGAAAGAAGAACAAAAAAACCCAAAATTAGCAGAAGTAAAGAAATCATCAAGATCAGATCAGAAATAAATGAAAAAGAAATGAAGGAAACAACAGCAAAGAGCAATAAAACTAAAAGTTGGTTCGTTGAGAAGATAAACAAACTGATAAACCATTAGCCAGACTCATCAGGAAAAAAAGGGAGTAGACTCAAGTCAACAGAATTAGAAGTGAAAAAGGAGAAGTAACAACTGACACCACAGAAATACAAATTATCATGAGAGACTACTACAAGCAACTATATGCCAAAAAAATGGACAACCTGGAAGAAATGGACAAATTCTTAGAAAAGTACAACCTTTTAAGACTGAACCAGGAAGAAATAGAATACATGAACAGACCAATCACAAGTACTGATAGTGAAACTGTGATTAAAAATCCTCCAACAGCGGTGTTCCCTGGTGGCACAGTGGCTGAGAGTCCACCTGCTGATGCAGGGGAAACGGGTTTGTGCCCCGGTCCAGGAAGATCCCACATGCCGCGCCTGTGCTCCGCAACGGGAGAGGCCACAACGGTGAGAGGCCCACGTACCACGCACACACACAAAAAATCCTCCAACGAACAAAAGCCCAAGGCCAGATGGCTTCACAGGTGAATTCTATCAAACACTTAGAGAAGAGCTAACACCTATCCTTCTCAAACTCTTCCAAAATATAGCAGAGGGGGCAACACTCTCAAACTCACTGTATGAGGTCACCATCACCCTGATACCAAAACCAGACAAAAATGTCACAAAAAGAAGAAAATTACAGGCCAATATCACTTATGAGCACAGATGCAAAAATCCTCAACAAAATACTAGCAAACAGAATCCAACAGCACACTAAAGGATCATACACCATGATCAAGTGGGGTTTATCTCAGGAATGCAAGGATTCTTCAATATACACAAATCAATCAATGTGATACACCATCTTAACAAACTGAAGGATAAAAACCATATGATCATCTCAATAGATGCAGAAAAAGCTTCTGACAAAATTCAACACCCATTTATGATAAAAACTCTCCAGAAAGTGGGCATAGAGGGAACCTACCTCAACAGAACAAAAGCCATATATGACAAACCCACAGCAAACATCATTCTCTATGGTGAAAAACTGAAACCATTTCCACTAAGATCAGGAAGAAGACAAGGGTGCCCACTCTCACCACTATTATTCAACATAACATAGTTTTGGATGTTTTAGCCACAGCAATCAGAGAAGAAAAAGAAATAAAAGGAATCCAAATTGGAAAAGAAGAAGTAAAACTGTCACTGTTTGCAGGTAACATGATACTATACATAGAAAATCTTAAAGATGCCACCAGAAAACTACTAGAGCTAATCACTGAATTTGGTAAAGCAGCAGGATAGAAAATTAGTGCACAGAAATCTCTTGTACACTGACAATGAAAAATCAGAAAGAGAAATCAAGGAAAGACTCCCACTTACCATCGCAACAAAAAGAATACCTAGGAATAAACCTACCTAAGCAGGCAGAAGACCTGTACGCAGAAAAGTACAAGACACTGATGAAAGAAATCAAAGATACAAAACAGATGGAGAGATATACCATGTTCCTGGATTGGAAGAATCAACATTGTGAAAATGACTACACTACCCAAAGCAATCTACAGATTCAATGCAATCCCCATCAAATTACCAATGGCATTTTCCACAGAACTAGAACAAAAAATTTCACAATTTGTATGGAAACACAAAAGACCCCGAGTAGCCAAAGAAATCAAGAAAGAAAAACGGAGCTGGAGGAATCAGGCTCCCTGACTTCAGACTATACTACAAAGCTACAGTAATCAAGACAATATGGTACTGGCACAAAAACAGAAATATAGATCAATGGTACAGGATAGAAAGCCCAGAAATAAACCCACGCACATATGGTCACCTTATCTTTGACAAAGGAGGCAAGAATATATGATGGAGAAAAGCAGCCTCTTCAATAAGTGGAGCTGGGAAAACTGGACAGCTGCATGCAAAAGAATGAAATTAGAACACTTCCTAACACCATACACAGAAAGACACTCAAAACGGATTAAAGACCTAAATGTAAGGCCAGACACTATAAAACTCTTAGAGGAAAACATACAAAGAACACTCCATGACATAAATCACAGCAAGGTCCTTTTTGACCCACCTCCTAGAGAAATGGAAATAAAAACAAAAATAAACAAATGGGACCTAATGAAACTTAAAAGCTTTTGCACAGCAAAGGAAACCATAAACAAGACAAAAAGACAACCCTCAGAATGGGAGAAAATATTTGCAAACGAAGCAACTGACAAGGATTAATCTCCAAAACATACAAGCAGCTCATGTAGCTCAGTATCAGAAAAACAAACAACCCAATCTAAAAATGGGCAGAAGACCTAAATAGACGTTTCTCCAAAGAAGACATACAGATTGTCAACAAACACATGAAAAGATGCTCAACATCACTAATTATTAGAGAAATGCAAATCAAAACCACAGTGAGGTATCACCTCACACCAGTCAGAATGGTTATCATCAAAAAATCTACAAACAATAAATTCTGGAGAGGGTGTGGAGAAAAGGGAATCCTCTTGCACTGTTGGTGGGATTGTAAATTGATGCAGCCACTATAGAGAACAGTATAGAGGTTCCTTAAAAACCTAAAAATAGTACTACCATATGACCCAGCAATCCCACTACTGGGCATATACCCTGAGAAAAACCATAATTCAAAAAGATTCATGTAAATATTCCTGCAGTGAACACTGTGGTACAACTGCCAGGATATGGAAGCAATCTAAATGTCCATAGACAGATGAATGGATAAAGAAGATGTGGCACATATATATCATGGAATATTACTCAGCCATAAAAAGGAACAAGACAGTTATTTGTAATGAGGTGGATGGACCTAGAGTCTGTCATACAGTGAAGTAAGTCACAAAGAGAAAAACACATACCGTATGCTAATGCACAGATATGGAATCTAAAAAAACGTTAATGATGAACCTAGTGGCAGGACAGGAATAAAGACACAGACATAGAGAATGGACTTAAGGACACAGTGGGGGGAAAAGGAAGCTGGGACGAAGTTAGAGAATAGCACTGACATTTATACACTACCAAATGTAAAATGGATGGCCAGTGGGAAGCTGCTGCATAGCACAGGGAGATCAGTTCGATGCTTTGAGATGACCTAGAGGGGTGCGATAGGGAGGATGGCAGGGAGGCTCAAGAGGGAGGGGATATGTGGATATATGTATACTTATAGCTGATTCAGTTTGTTGTACAACAGAAACTAACACAACATTGTAAAGCAATTATACTCCAACAAAGATTAAAAAAAAAGAGCCAGCCAACTTGAAATAAATAAATAAAGTAAGTTTCTAAGTGTTGGAACTTAGTTTTAGAAAATCGTTTTACCTGTTTGCAAGTGTGTTCTTAGATGGAACACCATCAAAAACAATGACTCGATCTGCTAGATAGGTGGCCATGATGAAGTCATGTTCCACAACAAAGGCTGTCTTCTTAGCATGGAGTATGAAACTAAAACACATGATTTTGAAAAGCTTTATATCATCATATTCAAACACTATATTAAGCACTTTTGTCTGCCACTACACACGATCACAGGTAACACTCTTTATGAGTTGGACATTACCGTTTGACAACTCGAGCAGCCATCAATCTTTGCTCAGAATCCAAATATGCAGATGGTTCATCAATTAAATAGACATCAGCAGGTTTGCCCAAACAAAGAGCTAAAGCTACTCGCTGCAGTTCACCACCAGATAATGTTTGCACCTATTTGCAAAAGAAGTTCAGTAAACCATGAGACATCCAAAGTTTAAAATAATAAAATGATAAAACAACAAAAATTATTTTAGAGTACCTCTTGATCGATGATGTTTTCAATTTGCAGAGGCTTCATTACATCAGTCACAAATTGTGGATGAGTGTAAGCATCTCTGATCTTTTCATGTAGCAGCTGGCGAACACTTCCCTTATTTAATGGAATAATGGAATTATTTAATGGAAAAGTATAGTATTTAATGGAAAGGTATTGAAATTTTATTTCAGTATAGAACTACTCTAATTATGAACCTTGAGAAAGTTAAGCTACACAGCAAAAGTATATCAATTTGCCACCAGCAGATATCGATAGTATTTTGATGCTTATCCATCAGCTATGACATGTCTTGAGACTTTAAAAATTAAAAACCCACCATGTCCAAGTTAAAAAAATACAAAAACAAATGTTTCAGGGAAGAAATCATTAGAGACTAGGAATACTTCTAAAGGTCAATATGGGTATCAAGTACTCTTAGGCAATCTGTGAGCTAACACAAAATGCATGATAATATGACAGGGATGAATTTAAGATATCTTTTAACTTGTTATTTGAGAAGAGGGCTGAGTTTGAGAACTTAAAAGCTAAGCTTATACAAAGCATCAATGATAAAATTTTCATTGTAAGCCATGCCATCTCAAATATTCCCAACATGAGTGAGTACTGAGGTACTAAGCATAGATACTGTAGTTAGTAAGTTCATTACAACACCTGCAGAAATCAAAGGAGATTAATTTCATGTTTTAAGGCTCATCCATATTGTAGTATGTATCAGTGTTTTATTTCTTTTTATGGCAGAATAACAGTGGCTCTACCATTTTTCATTCCCACCAGCAACGTATGAGGTTCTAATTTCTCTGCATCCTCAGCAATACTTGTTATTGTCTTTCTGCTTTAAGTCATTCTAATGGATGTTATGTGGTCTCTCAATGTGGTTTTGATTTACATTTTCCTAATGACTAACGATGCTGTGCATCTTTTCATGTGTTTATTGGCTATCTGTATATTTTCTTTGGAAAAACGTCTATTCAAATCCTTTGCCCATTTAAAAATTGAGCTGTAAGAGTTCTTTACATATTTTGGATACGAGTACCTTATTAAATATATGATTTGCAAATAATTTCTCCAGTCCTGTGGGTAGCTTTTCACTTTCTTGATGTCATTTGCAGCACCAAAACACATTAAGTTTTTGAAGATTTATTTTGGAAAAAGATGCCAAACAGACTTTAAAAGAGTTTCCTAGTAGCAGAAATGAATAAAGGACTGTAGTAGTCCTAAGATCTTCCTTAGCCACCTTATTACACCTGTACAGAAACTAATTTGGAGAAAATTTTTGATATAGTGTAAGATTAATGCTCTAGGTATATATACATATAAACTCTTCTTCAATAACAAAATAACAGAATAACTCACGGTTGATTTGGGACTGATTTTCTGTGGCTTATAACTGACATTTAAAACTGGTACTTCCCCTGCAAAGTAATACAAATAAGTAAGACACTGAAAATGGCCCAGATCTTTAAAGTTTACTATGTGGAACAGAGTAAGAAGACTCAATATTACAATAGTACCTCCTTCATCAGGTTTAAGTCTCCCAGCAAGCATTCTGATAAACGTTGTTTTACCAGTACCTGGCAACACAACATACAAAAAATTGACTTGAAAGATGCTTCACATTTACAGTAAATCACTAATGTACTACTGGGTTTTAACTGAGAAATTAGTTTTGAACAAATACACTGACACTACTGAATTCTGAAGGTTATATAGAAAAATACTTGAACTTTCATGATTCATCTCTCAAGTATCATTCTAAACTAATTAGGAGGAATATAGACTATTTAAAGTTTATGATGGCCATTTTAACAAACGGTGGTCTATAAAGTCTTGGGTTAGTTCTTGAAAGACTTATTTAGCTAAAATATCAATGCACACAATTTATTGTTAAGACAGGACAATACTTGTTATGGTTGATACCATCATCATAAAGGCCAGTTACATGAAATATTTAATTGCAACCAAGCTCAAAATTCCTGTTAACTAAAAACTGATACATTGCAACAATCTCCATAAAATTTTTTTCTTCTACAGTTTTGTAAGCTGTAAGTACACAATTCAAATCTTTTTCTAAAAATCATGAAAGCAATACCAGATATTTGGCACTCAAATTCATCTCATAACTATATTTATGACGATAACCTATTACTAAAAAGTGTTGGTAATACAACTATTTACAAAGTTAGATTAGCCTAAATTTAAATTAAGAAAGGTTCCAAGTGGAGGAATGCAAGGAAAACATTTTAAACTAGACTGCTTCAGAACTACCAATTTATCCTTTCCTTCCTAGTCAGTTTCTAAGATGAATAAATGCTATTCATATCAATTTATACATAGAAAAACCAGCTTAGAAAAAATCTTATTCTCACCGAAGGTTATGAAAACAAAATAAGAAATATGAACTCGATTAAATGACAGATTAAATCATGTTGTCACAAAATGTGAACTACACTGAGAAATGGAGGAATTCAATCCAGCTCCCAGACCTATAACTGAGTCAGTTTTTCATGGAGTAATTAACACTCAGTTACTGGATAAACAGAACAAACTTCCAAATATCACAAAATAAGGAAAACTTACCATTTTCACCCAACATCACCATGATTTCAGAATCTGTAAACTCTCCAGCTACAATTGCTAGCTCAAACTCTCCCATCTTTTTCTTCATTCCAGGATATTTATACATACACATCTTTTTAACTTCTTCTTCATTTGCTGTCTCAGCTACTTTAAAAACAAGCGATGCATCTCTGAATCTCAAGTTTTCTGTTGGAACGTAGCCATCCAAAAAAATGTTTATGCCTGTTGGAAAGTCATTGAAATAAATTAGTAAAGATCACTTAAAGAATAAACTTTTTCCACAAAAATAAATGATCATATAAAAGCCAAAACCCTAGGCTCTCTTGTGAGCAATCTATGCATAGATTTAAATTTCTGTGGATTTATAGCATGCAGTGTGACAACAGTGTTCCATGTACCTAATGCCAAGTTTAAGTAATTCATGTATGCCTATATACACAAAGCATAACTTTTCATTATTACATAATTTTTATAAGATTTTTTCCATCAGATTTTATGTGAAAGCCTATGATGCCATTTCTTCTGTATTTTAAAATTAAAAATTGTTATTTTTCTCTACAAAATGACAAGTAGGTAAAATGGAATATTTTCAGATTGACATAAAATAAATTAAAATAGTTTGAGCAATAATTTTTTAAAGACGATTTAAGTTAAGAATATTCATTTTCGGGCTTCCCTGGTGGCGCAGTGGTTGGGAGTCCGCCTGCCGATGCAGGGGACGCGGGTTCATGCCCCGGTCTGGGAAGATCCCACATGCTGCAGAGCGGCTGGGCCTGTGGGCCATGGCCGCTGAGCCTGCGCGTCTGGAGCCTGTGCTCCGCAACGGGAGAGGCCGCAGCGGTGAGAGGCCCGCGTACCGCAAAAAAAAAAAAAAAGAATATTCATTTTCATGGGAGACATAACCATACGTTGAAGTTATGATTTACTGCATGTGTTTTCAGATTAACTTCGCAGGTTTGAAAGAAATTTATAATAACAAACTAATTTCATTAACCTTTTTTTTGGCTTCACTGTACAAAAACACCATTATCTAAACAGATTTTAATAACTGAAAGTAAACTAACATACTGTACATGAAAATTCCTCCATACTGAAGTTGTTAAAAACCACAATGGCAGGTGCACAGAAATGGAAAAGTGCATTATTTGGGAAACAGTGAAAATATCTGTTTTTAAAGTGTTTACTATTTATAAGAGAAGGACAGTAGGTGAAGTTTCAGAAGGTCTTGAAAGAAAGTCTAAGGATATTATTCATGTCATCTGCAATTAAGAACCACATCTAGGCCTTTTCAGCCCAGAACACAGGTGTTCAACAAATATTTATTGACAGAATAAACAGATGTTTATTCTGTCCAAATTATCATTTTTATATCTTAAACTATTTAGAAATTATAAATGTGGGGTTAAAAAGATTAAAACCAAAAATTAAATAAAAATATAAACTTGAAGGAACCTTAGTGGCCATTTAGTCCAAGTGCCTAATTCATCAGGTAAGAAAATGAAAGCTCAGAGAAGTGACTTTGTGGAAAGAACACTAACAAGTCAGCTTTATACATTAATACTGCAATGTCTCTCTTGCCAATTTAAAAATGAGTTCAAGCTAAAATTCCTTTACAGTTCATAAAGAGCTTTTACATATAATGTGTTAATTTCAGTATATTAAAGGAAAGCAGAATTAAGTGCAGTTTGTTACTTGAATTGTTTTAACAGATAGGGTACATTAAAAACCTCACCAGGAACTACTACTTGGCATAGGCTTTAGACATGGCATCTATAAATGAAATTATGAAAAGTGATTGCCAGGTACCCATGTCATTATCATCAATGCGATTCTAGAACTACTTTAGGCAGAGTAGGCATTCAATAAATACTTGCTAACTGAGGAGAATAAAACATTAATTGCTTCTGATATCATCTCCTAAGACTACTGGAAAGAAAACTGGGAAATCTCACAAATTTTCCCTTAAAATACCTACCTATCTCAAATGTATAGATAGGGACGTGAGAGCAATTCCTTCCCCACATCTTAAACTATTTATACACTTTTTATAAATTAAAAAAGATACCACCGCCTTTTTATGCAGAGTATGATGCAATATAATTTCTTTCTCCAAAAGTTTCTTATGTAACTCAAAAGCAATCTCTTTGAAGAGACAGCTTTAAAAAAAAAAAAAAGAGCCTGTTCAACCTAGGGAGCTATAAGGCTACATGAATACTTATTCTTGTAGAATGTGGTATTTTTTCAAGATATGGACTAAGTAGTCCTTTTAGGTGTTCTAGATTGCCAGCTTAAGGCATAGCTGGAGAGAAGAAATGTAAAAAAGTAAAAATAGGAATGAGGAAGCAATTAAGGAAGAAATTAAAAGGAAGAAGGTGTATGAGGTAGAGAGTGCACTGATTCTGTTTCAAGAGCCACTTAGTGGTAGGCTAGTTTTTACTTTTGCCTAACTTGCTTAGGGAAGAGACATGGAAAAGAGACCAGAGTCCCTCTTTCCTGAAAGTAGAAAGAATAAGTGAAAATACACTTACTAAGCTATTCTATTAGAATTTTAGTCACTTGCTAGACTATAATATACTTAACTATCTTATTAGACTTTTGTATAGTCTTAGTTTCACAAACTTAGGATACAGATTACAGATAAATTTGAAACATGAAAACAAGATGAGCACTAAATCAATTTTAAGAGTTTTCCTACTGGTATTGGCCCGTCAAAGATAAAGCTGAACATGACAAGTAGTACAGTGATGCTGCAGAGGCCAAAATATAAAAGAAACTTTTAATGTAGCAAATAAATAGTGAAATTGATAGAGCATTTTTACCCACAACAAAAACTTCTACAAAAAGACATAGGTTATGTTTAACAACTGATGTATATAACCTTATATATGTATATTCTATTGTGAGATTAAATTCCTTAAGGCCAGAGTTTTGGATAAGTAATATGACAGCAACACTTAACTACTTAGCATCAACAGCAATACATTTTCTAAGCATTACAGTGAAAGAGAACACAGCATTGTGAAAAGTTTTTCAAGTTACCTTCTCTTACACTAAAAGGCATAGTGACAACACCATAAGCACTTGGTACGCCATATAAACAGCAGATGAAGTCAGAGAGATAGTCTAATACACTTAGATCATGCTCCACCACAATGATATATCTGAAAATCAACACAGATTTTTATTTTAAAATGTAATATATATAATTAAAATTATATTTAATTATAATAAAAACTTTTACATAGTTTTTAAAAAAACTACAGTGTAAATTTCAGGAAGATAGATATATTTTAAAAAAATTAACCGTAAAGACCATATTAAGCATAAGTTATAAAACATTTTCTTTAAGACTCATTATCAACGTTCATATTTCAAATTGTTTTCTTAAACTAAAAGAAAAAAGTTAACATGAAATAATGTATGAATAAATGAAATAAATGTTTTGTTAAAAAAAATTTTTAAATAAACTTTACAAAGCAGAAACAATTATAATAGATTTAAATCAGACCTATTCTAAACTGTTTATTATGCTCTTCAACTTATGCATTAAACCCTTCTACTTGTCCTGTCTCATGCTAGCTGTAGTAAGGAATGCACAGAGAATACAACAGAATCCTCAACCTGCGAATTTTCACTTCAGCTGTGGAGACAAGGAACAGATATGAAACAATACCAAAAAACACTACATTAGCAAAATGTTTTTACAGGTAATAAAAATCTAGTGACGGTAAGAAAGAAAATAGGTTAGTGTGTGTACTGGAGCACTTTATAAACGGGATGGGCTATGACATGACTTTTCAAGTGGTAAGAAAAAAGTATTGCTAGTATAGAAACTATTAGGCAAATAATAATCATAAAGCTTTTATGCATCTTATTCCTATTCAACTTAGCTCAAGATGTTCAAAAAGCAATGTCCTACGGACACCTAAAATTCTTTTTTTTTAAACATCTTTATTGGAGTATAATTGCTTTACAATGGTGTGTTAGTCTCTGCTTTATATAAAATTCTAATTTATCAGCTTCCTGTACAAATAAAAACTAACCAGCCATATTTTTATTGATGGAATCACTACTCCCATAAAAAAAAAGACTCAATTTTATTTGCAATCATATATTGCTTAAATTGTCAAGCATGTCTAATTCATTCTTTTCTTTCTCTATCTAGATTCTAATTCAGGCTGTCATTTCTATCGATATTGTTATAGGCTTTTAACAAACCTCATTTTCTTCAGGTCCCCAGATGTGGCTCTCAGTTCCAAATGAAACACATGACATCTTCAGACTTTCTTTTAAGACCTTCCAAAACTTTAGCTACAATAGATCTTCCTCAATTTATAAGGTTACACCCTGATAAACCCATCGTAATTTGAAAATGCATTTAATATGCCTAATCTAACAAATATCATACTTAGCCTAGCCTACCTGAAATGTGCTCAGAACTTATATTAGCCTACAGTTGGGCAAAATCATGTAACATAAAGCCCATTTTATAATAAAGTGTTGAGTATCTCATGTAATGTATTGAATACTGTACTGAAAGTGAAAAACAGAATGGTTGTAAGGGTACCAGCTGTTTACCCTCATGCCCATGTGGCTGACTTGAAGCTGTGGCTTGCTGCCGTCGCCCAGCATCAGAAGACAATATTGTACTGCCTATTGCCAGACCGGGAAAATATCAAAATTCAAAATCTGAAGTACAGTTTCTACTGAATGTGTATTGCTTTCACAATATTGTAAAGTCGAAAAATTGGTCAACTGAACCACAGCATCTTTATTTCATTTATACATAGGACACACTGAAAAATGGCTCTTTGCTTGTTTCCTAAATAATCTACCCTTCTATCCCTGTGTGTCTAAGGGTGGTCTATCATTTCAGTGGTCTAAAATCCTGCCTAAAATCCTCACCTGCTGAAATTCTACATAACCCTTTCACGGCTCACCTCCAATTCTACCTCCAGTAGGAACACCCTTATTAATATGCAAATAAACTTTTGCCCACTGTTGAACGTGGTGAGCATCAATAAAAATGGCAAATCACCGAAGTGGGCCAATACTTATCCTGCCTTGGTATCTTTATTGGCCATGTTCCATTATTTGGAATAATTCTCTGCTTTTTTACCATTAAAATCTTCAAGGCCCAGTATAAGGCAGCATAGTTATTACCTAGTGGCTTTTAATGTGCTTTTGAAAAGAAAAAAATAAGTCACACCTCCTGCCTTCCCTACTTTCAAATGGAGCTTATGCAGAAGTCCAAAATGTTAAAAAAGATTTATGGGAGCCACTCTATTTTCTGAGGGTTTGAGAAGAAACAATAATCTGCAACATGAGAAATGTATGCTATGAAAATTTACACCCTACACTTAATTTTGGGTTATCTGTTGGTTTTTAATCTTCCTCTCGCATTACTGTTCCCCTCTCTAATTCATCCTCTATTTCTTGTTGTTTATCGGAGGATATGATCTTCAAAATCTTTTTACAGCATTAAAGACTGAATGTATGCCTTGATATGTTGTACAATTTCAGGATGCAGATATACTTCCTGTAACTTTTTATTATCAGTCTATCACTACAAAGAGATTATTTTGACCCTATACTTATAAAAATGAGACCCAGCACATCTGAGAAAATCTAACAATCATTTTCTTCGCTTTGTCAATCTAACCTGTTTTGGCATGTTATCCCTTTTACAACTATGGTTACTGCCCTCTCATAATACAGAATGTAGTGATTTGGCTGAATATTGAAATACATGTCACCTGGTTGTAAATTATTATCCTTTTAGCTTTTTCATTATGGTTAAAGCATTATATAGTATTAAAAAAATTATGTGTAAATGTAGATAATATCTATGATATTCATTTCAGTAAAACAAAGGAATATAAAAATGTTTTATAAAAAGGTATTAGGGTTGAGAACTACTGACTTGACTGCTTGTGTATTCTTTAATTTACCTTATCCTGAAGTCCCTGAATATTGGGACATTTTATACTCTTACTTCCCCCCAAGAGGCTATCATAATGCCCTGGTCTATGTATGAAGTGAAAATTATGGCTACACTTTGGCTCAACTAAGACTGTCTCTTTACCACTGATATTCCAAGTTTTACTTCAAGGTATGTACATGGATCATTTGCTCCTTGAATCTATGGAGTCAAGTTTTCCAATTCTGGAAAATACCCAGCCATGACCTTTTCATAGCTTTATTTTTCAGACTCCTATTAAGATATATGTAAATCATCTTCTCATTCTATTCTCTCTTATCCCATTCTCCATGTCTCTGAACCTCCCTTCTGTATTTCAATCTCATTCTCTCTCTGCTGTATTCTGGTAGCTTGCTCAAACCAACTTTTCAAGTTTCTCACACTCTTTTTTGTTGTACCTAACACCTAATCTGTCCAGTGAGTTTTCAATGTCATGACTATACTTTTAATTTCTAGATTTGTTTGGGTTTTTTAAACAATTACCTGTTGCTTTTTTGTGGTATCATATTCTTAGTTTTCAATCTTCATGTTTTAAATTATTTTAAATATTATTTTACAGTCTCTTTGAAAATGTCACTCAAAGTTCCTGAAAGTCTAAATCCTGCTGTTTGTTGTGTCTACTGAATCATTTGTAGAATTTCCTCCTATCATTTATAACCCTGGGCTTAAAGCTCTTGAGTCTTTACCTGTAGAAATCCTGTGTGACCAGGGTTGAGGGCATATGCTTCCAGAGTGGTTTTATATTTGCTTCATCTAGGTACCACAGAACTAAAGATTCTAGGGCCCTCTTGTTATGTTACTTTCTTAACATGGATGGTTCTTAGACTCCCCTGATCACATAAATTTCAATTCCATATCCATGTGAGCTGCCAGTCCCTGAAGAGATCTGAAGGGGAGCCAGCCCTCTATTTCCAAGGATCTCAGTGAGTGACAGGTATATGTTTCCTTGACATCCTCCTGTGTTTGCTCTTTTGCTGAGAAAACAGTCGTTTGAGAGTCCCGGCTTTTTGTGTGATAATTCAATACAAGGCCTTGCTTCTTGCCCACAAGTAGCTGTTAAAGCTCAAGACTTACTACAGAGACAAGCAATGTCCCCTCAAGAAAGCCATCCTTGTTTTTCCCCTGTAATTTACAGTTCTCTCTTTGGTTTTTTGATCCCTAGGGATTTCTCTTGCTCTGTTGTAAGATCACCTATGAATTAAATCAGCTACTAAAGAGAGGAACAGAAAAAAGTCCTGGGTTCTTGCCATATCATAAATTTGAAACCTAGAAATAACTAGCTTTTCTGACCTTAAAACATCTTCATCTGCAAAATGGGAATACCACCTAAAGATTCTTACTTACAAGATTACTAAGGCGCAAATGAGATAATGGATATAAAAACTCTGCAAACTACAAAAGCACCCTACAAATACAGGATGTTGTGATTACTTAACAGAAGTTTTTAAGACCTCCCTTGTGCTCAGTAAGACCTGGGAAACTGGAATTACTCTGTTCTAAAATTGTGTGTAGGAGTGACATATCCATTTGAGGATCTGGTAAAAGTTAAGGATCTGCTTCCCAGAAATCCATACATATACGCCAAAATTTGCATATCACTACAGAGTATTCTTAGGCTCCCTGGAAACAGGTATGGTAGTAAATGGATCTTGCATTAAGAATCTCTTTTCTAGATAGAGGAAAGTAAGTTCAAGTGATAGCTCCAAAAACCAAGATGGAAAACACGCACACATATGTGACATTGATGGTCCCAGTGTTTAAACTTTAGAAATCTGTGAAACTCCTCAAACAAAACAGCACAGGCATATACCAAATCTGTACTTACCTATCTGGATTTATTAGAGATCGTATAGTAATAGCAGCCTTTAAACGCTGCTTGACATCTAGGTAACTAGAAGGTTCATCAAACATGAAACTATGAAAAAAAAAGCAAACATAATAATTGAAAGGCAAGTATGATAAAATTCTATCTTGCATGTTATTTTAAAGCACTGAGATATAGTTTCTGATTTAACAACAACAAAAATCCCCTTATAATAATGAGGAGCCCACCCCATAATGGTAAAAATTTCTGTATTCTGTTCAGAAGTAGAAGGAAGAAAATAAATTATGAGACTGCATATCAAGTCTGGGGAGAGACTCCTAGATTAGGCTAACTTACAAACTGTTATCTCCTCATGAAAAATATCCTGATATATTCCGAAGTAATTCAGAGGGCTCTCTTAATTGGCTAAAGTCGGTTGCACTAAAGCAGAGTTTTTGGAAAGGAGGGCTCTGCCCAGAATACTTTATGGAGAAAAACTAGCCTGCATTGGATGCCAGAGTAGAAGTATGGAAAAAGATGAGAGCAAAAACTATCTGGGGGAAGAGAGGCATTAAAAGGTAGAAAGGAAACTCGCCTTTTTCACTTCCTTCTTCTCTGTCACATGGCAAGCCACCCTGATTTAGGATAACCTAAAAGACCTGATTTTCCACTTGAGCTATGGAAAACCTTGCTGGCCTGGTAGGAGAGCTTCATCTTAAAAAAATGTCCTTCTTATGTATAAAGAGAGTTTACAAAATAAACAGCTGACTTCAGATTAAAGAGCTCTAGAACCCTAAGTTGTAAGGTACTTACCTAAATGAATTTTTTACCCCTGATGGAATAACAGGGAAATGGGCAATGGATGCACAACTGCTTCAACATCTGACCTCAAAGTTAGAACATTAGATACTCTTCCTATTAATTTCTCTCAAACCACTGCTCTATTAGCAGCATTATAAACAAAAACTCTAAAGTAGGGATAAGATTTACAAAAAGTATAGAGTAACCTACATATCAGCTTTCTGTATACAAACGACAGCACAGGCAAATCTCTGCAACTCTCCTCCTGAAAGATCTTCAACATTGCGTTCTTTTAGATGGGTTAAATCTACAAAGAACATAGAGGCATTGTGTTCAATGTTATTTTACTTTACCTCTTCAAGGTAAAATGTATATTGAAAATACTTCTCTGTTTGAATATTTCTGTTGAAAATACGACAACTACTAGAGATTTTTCCATTTATTTCAGTAATCCATACGAAGATACCTATGTTTATGAGTTAAGTTCAGGGCCTATTAAAACACATACACAAAATAAACACTTACCGAGCTGCTGACATACAATTGCTTGTGTCTTAGTTTCATCTTTTCGGTCCAAAATACACCCCACTGTCCCCTGCCATAATGTATCAGAAATAGTATTATTTTCCTTCAATACTAAAATTCCCTCACTATTAAAAAGAATCACAAAATAAAACAAGTTTACTTTGATTTATCTTTTATATGTCCACCAATATTTGTAATACCCACTAAATTTCTCCTAAAAAGAAACTGACCTTTGCAGCCTTGGGAATCTGGTCTACATACTGAGGTTTGATAATGGCTTTTAGGTCATCTTCAAGAATCTTGGTAAAGTAATTCTGCAATTCAGATCCACGGAAGTAAGTCAAAATTTCTTGCCAATCAGGTGGGTCCTAGAAATATATGTATAATTACATGAATTTAATAATACAATTGCAAAGAGGATGAATGTTATACAAAATAGAACACATATCCAAACAGAATAACTCTGCTTCTAAGATAATATTAGAGGTGGATTTAATTTCAAATCAAGAAAACACCAACTCATAACAGTTTACAAAAGCTCAGAATTATCAATTAAGCAGCATTAACAGATTTTAAAAAGGAGTTTCATTTATAGTTTCTCAGCATTAATTCCACAAATAATCTTGAAAATAAGAACATTAAAAAATAAAATCACACATACTCTCTCCTTCATAGCCTCATAAAACTGAAGCAAGATATTCATTTTTATAAGGTGGTAATACATACATCATATTTTCCAAGGTTTGGCTTTTGCTTTCCTGCTAAAATTTTTAAAGCAGTTGACTTTCCAATACCATTAGTTCCAACTAATCCCAAAACTTCACCTGGACGAGGAATAGGCAACCTGTCGTAAGTGTACAAAAATAATAAGACAACTCAGACTTATGTAGAAAAAGCGACGTAATACCAGAATGATGTATTTTAATGCGCTTGCACTCCACACACAATCATTAATAAGACAAAAAAGATATATGCCAGATATTACTGGCTATTAGGAAAAAACAGCAGCCAAGATTAACTTAAACTGTTGTTAGGAATGCATCCAATACTAATATTACTCCAAATTTTATTTATTCAACTTTCACTCAAAGTCTAAAGTAACAATTTTTCTTCCCATATAAGGCTCAATTTTAATGTATAATAAAATGGTTTGGTAGAAAATTGCACAGCAGGTGCAACCTCACACTGTCTTTCTTTTCTTTGGCCTGCCATTTACTTACAAGGAGAGAAGTGCCACATCAACCAGAAATACTCCACTTCATTCTCCCTGCTGCAGTAGGCCCCTTAAAGCTGGCAGGTTGAGAAATACCTTTTTATTAGTTAAATCTAGACTCCAGGATTCAAAATATTAGTGTTCAGCAGATTAAAAACCTCAAAGAATGCGTCATTAACAATATATGTCGAAGTCCAGAGTAATATTCTCTGTAGATTATGAGATTAATAGATAAATAAAATCAAGATGAGTTCCCTTAAAAGTATTTTGGGGATAAGGATATTATTAACAAGTGATTCTCACCCCCAACTGTATATTAGAATCACTGGGAGCCTTTTCAACTTACTAAGATCCAGACTGTACATCCAGAGATAAGATGTAATTCAACTGGGCTGAAATTACCTGGGCATTAGTAGTTTTAAAAAGACCCTCAGGTAATTTTAATGTTAGCTAGAATGAACCACTGACGTATTCAATATGATTCTGCATGATGTTATAATACTGTATTTTGCTTTAGTGGATGTAAAAGTTAATACCACTTTTTTTCCATTTTTGTTATTTCTCTGAAAATTCCAAATGGATTTACTGAAGTAAAGAAGAATGTTGACTTGGAAATATACCTGTGAAGCTTGAAGGCGTTGGCACAATATCGATGTGTTGTTTCTTTTTCCAAGTTGCTTGGTAAATTGACAATTGATAAGGCGCCAAAGGGGCATTTCTGTTATTTAAAGAATTAGTTTTCTGTTAATTTTTAGAAATATAGGCATGACTAAAATGAACAGATGAAGAAATTTTTAGAATTTATCTTCCAAAAGTGGGAGTTTCACACAGACGTAAAGTATTGTTTCATTTCCTATCCTTTGCTTAAAAAAGTTAAGTTCCTTGAAGGTAAGAATCATATCTAATAATTCTGTATTCCCCCTAGTGACTGGTATAATCCTGGACATTTAATGTGTTTAATACTTACTGCAAAACCTTACAGAACTGAAGGCTTTTGTATGAGAAGGTTAAGAGCAAGATAAAACGCGGTTATTGAGCATACAGTTCCATATTCAGTCAATGAGAAATGCCTTCCCTTTATCTCCTTCTTCCTGTCTCTGTATGCTTCCATTTCTACCTTGTACCTTTCTTGGTCTACTTATGTCCCAACAACAGCTAGCATAGTATTTGCACAGAGCAAGGACTAACGTCTTTCCATTGTGATTTGTAACCATCCCATACGAAAAAGATACTTCATATTCCAATTGAGAAAATTCACATTAAAAAAGAAAAAAAACCTCATAGAAAAACTTATTTGAACAATAAGTGACTATCAATCAGATAAATGCCCAAGGAACAAGAATGGCAAGAACTAGAAGGTGATTTAAGAGTGGTAACGTGGCTAGAAAAATTTCTCAGCAGTACAGACGACTATAAAGGTACAACCAAACAGTATAACCTCAGATTAGAAATCTGTTTGGCAGAACTGTTCAATGAGCTCAGGGGACTAATTCAAGTCTCTGTATATAAAGATTTCAGGGAATTCCCATTTCCTAAGTTACAAAAACACAGAGGTTTAAAAAACAACACTCTTGTTTTCTAGCAAAATAATCACCAACCTCTAACAAAAATTAATTCTTTACACGAGATTTTTTTTTGCAAACGGAATTACCTCCATTTACAGAAGCCCCTATTACTCCATCAATGTACATAAAATGCTTACAGGCTGCAAGTAATTTAAACTTCTCTTAATCTACAAAGAAAAAAATAGCAACATTGCTCATATATGTGGTGCATTACAAGTATCTTAGTGTTCGGGGGGCATACACTACCCGCCCCCGCCAAACAATTCATCACATCAGTTTCTTTTCAGCCACTGAAGTGCATACCCCAAATTCTGGAATCTCATTTTTTTTTATAGCAGTGAGGAAAGAAAATAAAATCGAATATATTGTTCAAAATAAGATTTACACCACCCAAAACACTGGCAGGCAAATAATAAAAGATTAGTAAGTATTTGCTGGAAGAAATATCTCCTGCTTACATTTTCAAAACAAGAAAAAACGCTTTCAGGTACCAAGCCAGGTACTTCTGAATACTTGACCGAGGATTCAGAAACCAATGTAAAATACACAAACCTTATTAGAAAAAATAACAGATGGTATCCATATTTTGGGAAATCTCCTTTCTAAAATATATTATCTGTAAATAAAAATAACTAATTTAAGAACTTTATACACTGGCTCCTAAATATCTTTTATGAACTAAAGTTGGAAATCCATCATTCTTTAGTAAAATGCCCTATTCAAACCATTCAGTATAACAAAAACTGAGGTATTTTGAAAAATTACAGTATTGGGATAAATCCAACAATAGAAAAATGTATAACACAGCAAACGCAGTACTTAAGGATTAGGTTAAATTAAAAAAAATTTTTGGCTGTGTCCATTTTTATTTAAAAGTGTGAATTTAGGGACTTCCCTGGTGGCGCTGATTGAGAGCCCACCTGCCGATGCAGGGGACACGGGTTCATGCCCCGGTCTGGGAAGATCCCACATGCCGCGGAGCGGCTGGGCCCGTGAGCCATGGCCGCTGAGCCTGCGCGTTCGGAGCCTGTGCTGTGCAACGGGAGAGGCCACAACAGTGAGAGGCCCGTGTACCACAAAAAAGAAAAGAAAGAAAAAAAAATGTGTGAATTTTAAATTAAACACAGGGACTTCCCTGGTGGCGCAGTGGTTAAGACACTGCGCTCCCAACGCAAGAGGCCCGGGTTCGTTCCCTGGCCAGGGAACTGGACCCCACATGCATGCCCCAACTAAGAGCTTGCATGCCACAACTAAGGAGCCCTCGAACCACAACTAAGACCCAGCACAGCCAAATAAATAAATGAAATAAATAAATTTAAAAAATAAAATTAAACACAGACTTGAAAAAAATGTATGTAATATGACTCATATTTTTTGTATTTATATTTCAAAAAAGTTCTGGTAAAGACTTGGAGAATGTCCTCATAAAAGGGTGAAAAAAATTAATTTTGGTTGGAAATGGCTTTATGAAGTTGTATACAGCAAAAATAACTTTTATTTTATTATTTTTTTTAAGGATAACTGTTAAGTGGGGTGGTTAATTAATAGAAAAAGCAATAATAATATTGATATAAGAACAATATTTTTCTGAATTTGTATTCTTTATTCAATGTTTTATATTTGGCTCTAAAAATAGTTATAATGTATTCAGAATTTTTAGATTTCATTTTTAGGTTACAAATTTGATCCAATAAATAAAATATCACTTACTTTAATACAAATACCACAACCAATACAAAGAGTTTCAGAAATCCATGCTATTTTGCTCTGGGAGACAACCTCTATGCATAATTTTCCTGGCAAAGGAAAAGATAGAATTAAATCATTTCTCCTGATGTTCTAATTTTCTGAACACTGTTATTTCGGCAATTCTGGTTCCAAATTTCCATATAGAATCAAGTTTTCAAAAAGAAAGGCCACAGAAAGAAATATAAATCAGTGCTTTGGATAGATTACTGAACTTAACTACTTAAATGAATACTCTTGTCAGGCAAGGCAGAGATGACTCTAATATGCTTATTTGTTTAATCTACTACGAGAAGAAAATATGCTAATAAAAATACAGCGGATCCTAAAACAGCTTTACTTTTAAGCTGACTGACCTGAATATATAATCCATAAAATATGCCTTGAAAATGGTAATGTACACGAGATAAGGGAATGAAATACGTTAGCTAAATCAGGGAAGTTCCCCAAAGGTATGTGGACATCTAATACACACACAAAATTAAACGTGGCATTAGGGATATTAATAATGGAATTTCTGAATAGCACAGTAGACTGTAACACATGACATCTAAATTTCCTTTTAAGATTTAGTAAGCTTATACCTCACTAGTATATTTAAAGTAAAAATTATTTAGTTTAGCCCTTAAAGACGACCAACAATTCATCAATTCTGAATGGTCATAAATTTATTTACTCTTGAAAATATAGCAAAACCTCATGAATAGTCATTCATATTAAGCTTTTTTTTTTTTTTGAGGAGAATACTATCAAATATCAATACAAACATCTTGGCAGTCCTTTCTTCATGACTTAAAGTAACCATAGGATTTTGTAGGACAGTAAGAATCTCAGTAATTTGAACTCTGGTTTGATTTTGTATTCAATGAACTTAAACAGGATCATTTAGTCACAAAGCATTAAAAGAAATTTAGAACAAAATCTGGTCTTATTTTTACATTTTAAAGAAACTAACGGGGGAGAAAAGTATATACTAAAGCCTAGAGAACCATGAAGACAGTGTATTCCTTTTAAAACCTTCTCTTATCCTTAAATGATCCACAGAACAGCTTACCCATTCGAACCACAGGGCAACTCTTTTTGCACTCCTGCCGACACTTCTTAGGTTTACATTTGTCATGGTTGACAATAGCAATTCTTGTTAATTTATCCGCCATAATTCTAAGGAAGTAACAATATCCAGTTCCTCTATTAAAGAAAAATTAACAAAATTATGGCATAGTCAATGCAATTAGTTAAGAGAAATAAGTTACAGGCATAAAAAGGTAGACAGGAGCAGATAAGTTATCACTATATTCAGATATTAATACCTGGAACTAGTTAAAAAAAAACTAGTAAAAGCAATAAAATAATTTGGTAAGGCTGGAAAAACAAAATTTTACATATATTCCATTCATCAGAAGATTTATATAAAGAAGGAAAAAATACCACTTTCAACAGTCAGAAAAAAGAAATGATCTAGGGATCAACTTAACAAGATATATATACACATGCGAGGAAACTTTCAAAATACCACTGAAAGACCCAAAAGACCTGAACAAGTACAATGACATGCTGTCTCAGTTTTCACAATAAAGAATAGTCAATATCAGAGATTTCAACCTTCCCTGAATTTATATATTTAATCCAATCTCAAGGAGAAAAAGAAAAAAACTGAATCAGACAAATCAAATCTAAAGCTCTTATACAAAAAGAAAGGTAGTAATAGCCAGGAAAATGGAAAAGAGCAAGGGGGAAGAGGGAACCTACACTTGACATATGAAAAAAATGATATAAGGCCTCAGAAATTGATGCTGATACCAGTGTATGAACGCAGACCAATGAAACAGAATAGGAAGACTTGACATGAAAAGATACATATGATAAAGGTGTTTAATTCCTCCCTCAAACTAAGCATCACTTCATGGCTTAGCCATCTGACTACAATGCACTACCGATGGAAATGGCAAATAATTATTAAGGGTGTAACCATCATGTTGGTCAACTGGAAAAAGTAAAAACTGCTTTACCTGGGAATTTACAATATGGCCATGATGAATTTTATGTTAACAGCACTGAAATGAAAAGGAGACCAAGTAACTATATGTATATACTCACTTTTGGAGCTTTTTAAAGTCTTGATATTTAACAGCACCATCAATTATGTAGTTGAGGTCAAAGTTAACTTAATCTTTTATAATACTGGGCTTAGTGACTGACATTAATTTTCTTAGAATGTGATTAAAGTAATTCATTCGAAAAAATGCCTTACTACTCCAGTTTATTCCAATATGTAATGAAAGAACCTGAAGCCAAAAGATTACTGACCAACAAAGACATTCTGTTGGCTTTTTCTATCAATGACTGTGATCCTCTATCTAGATTTTTCTTGACAGACTGCTTCCTCTTATAGAACTCTCCAGTCCTTCTCATAACCCCTCAATATCATTAGGCTTGGAGGGGAATAAAAGATCTTGCTCCTCAGTACCGCTCCCAGAGGATTCTCTCTCCTCACTAAAAACAGCCACTTTTGCCTCTTAGGTCATCCACCCGTTTTAGTCATTTACCGACCATCAGATCACTCCCTCCCTTCTTTGAAATTTCAGCCCTTAGCTAATGTTCACTCTAACAACTCTTGTCATAACTCTTGGTGACTTCAATATGTTCATAGATAATCCTTCTATTAACAGCCTGTCATCTCAGTTCATTAACCTCTCTCCTCTAGTGATCTTGTCTTTCACCCTACCATAGCCACTCATTCCTTTCGTCAAATCCTTCACCTTGTCATTACAAATAACTGCATTTTTTCCCATAACCTACCTTTCAAATACCCCATTCTCCAACCACCATCCCTATCTTTTCAGTTCACCTCTCTCATACACAACAATCCAACAACCCCTAGAACTCCCCCATTCCTCAGACCTAACACTATCTCTCAATTCTACCACATTTCCACTGTCCTTCAGCCTTTTGTATCTTTGTATCTCTGTACCCACCTAAAATTCCATTGTCAATCACTTACACCCTTATCTATAATCCTGATTAAGCACAACTCTTCACCTGCACACATGCAGCAGAAAATGGGAAGAGAAAAAACAAAGCCATGCTGACTAGTATCATCTCAAGTGAAACTATGCCAACCAGCAACCATACTATATGTATTTCCATAGTAGGAGCTCAAACATTTCCGTTGAATGAAATGAGAAAATGCATTTAGACATAGTAAATCATTTTCCTGTAGATTATAACAACTTCAGGAGTATTGCAAGTTACCAATATTTTACAGTGACAGTTATCCACTAAAGTATATTATTAGGAAAAAAAAATCACCCAAAAGGTGACTAAAATTTTATGTAATAAACAGTTACGCTGATAGGTTCACTTTACCCCTTTATAACCTTTAGAAACTGGTCCAGGCAGGCCTCCTAAAGATTAGAATAAGAAGAAAATAAATGACTTTTGAACTGCTACAAAAAAGCTATCATTCTGGAAGTGACAACTCCCTAGAAACTGAAGACTCTTTAGTTAGCTATTAAAATAAAACTGGACACCATATTAATTGTGGTGAATGAGCATGATGAATTCCCCTATAGGTGATAAATCTTCATTGATTTATCAGTGAAACTGCTTAAGTTAAAGTTTATTTCTGCCAAACTACTAAAATGTTTCACCTACTATTTCAAACCATTTAAAAAACCAAATGACTGTAAAAGGTGATTTTTTTTTTTTTTTTTGCGATACGCGGGCATCTCACTGCTGTGGCCTCTCCCGCTACGGAGCACAGGCTCCGGACGCGCAGGCCCAGCGGCCATGGCTCACGGGCCCAGCCGCTCCGCGGCATGTGGGATCTTCCCAGACTGGGGCACGAACCCGCGTCCCCTGCATCGGCGGGCGGACTCTCAACCACTGCGCCACCAGGGAAGCCCTGTAAAAGGTGATTTTTATAAAATAAAAACCTACCAGAGATGGTTAATAAGCTGATTTATATAAAAAAGTGATAAATTATAATGCATTTAAGAAAAATACAGATTCTTTGTAGAACTGTTAATTAACAGTGTAAACACTATTATTAATTAAATTTCTATGTTAGTTTCAAGAATTGGCAAGAGCGAGCCCCTCCTTTTTTTTCAATGAGAAAGACATAGCACATGAAAGCTTGGAGGGGAAGCCTGTAGTAACTGACTCCTTGAAGATATTTCAAATCTGAAAACTGTGCTCAAAATAGGTACTCAAGGGACTTCCCTGCTGGCGCAGTGGTTAAGAATTCCCCTGCCAATGCAGGGGACACGGGTTCGATCTCTGGTGTAGGAAGATCCCACATGCTGCGGAGCAACTAAGCCGGCGAGCCACAACTACTGAGCCTGCATGTTGCAACTACTCAAGCCCGCGTGCCTAGAGCCCGTGCTCCCCAACGAGGGAAGCCACCACACTGAGAAGCCCGCGCACCGCAACGAAGGGTAGCTCCTGCTCGCCACAACTAGAGAAAGCCCGCGCAGTAACGAAGACCCAACTCAGCCATAAATAAATAAACAGATATATAGATATAAAAACTTATTTAAAAAATAGGTACTCAATGACCTTCACTGTCATTATTCCAGCTGAGAGGAAAAAAGGAAGTGAGATATGGAAACCATCTGCAGTCTAAGACCAAAATTATTTTAACACCCTGTGAAAACATTTGAAAGGTTGCTGTTAACGAATGATGCTCATGTCATGTGAGATATTCTAACCTATGCTATTGCAGGTCATTAATTTTATAAAACACGTAAGTTGGGAGTGGTGCACAACTCTGACTTCAGAGTCTTAAATTGAAGACAATTAAAAGGGACGCTAAATTAATAACTGCTTTCTCCTTACCCCACCCCAGCAATTATATTAAATATTCTTCCTAAAAAATTTTTTTTATAGGGGAGAACAAGGCTTTTCAACAAAAACAACACTCTGGTTCAGATACAGATAAGAGCCCTTGATTAACACTGACAAAGCATTATCGTCAGGCAAATGGTATAGAATGAATATTCTCAGTATCAAAGACAAAGGTACCGAGGACTGCAACACACATACCACTGTCATAAATGCCTAGTAAGCAGTCCTGTGGAAGAGAAGGCGAAAAACCCTCAAGCAAAACAAAACACACTGTTCTTAAGGCTACTTCTCACTCTTACGATTTTACCGTAAAAAATGAGAAAACGGGCTTGCGTAGTTTATGGGGTGTGGGAATCGGCTTTAGCCGTCGTTCCTACAATGCACGAACCACTGAAGGGAAAATAAAGGGCCTTTCAATAAAGACCTGATCTCAAGGAGTTTAAGATATGATAAAGGAGAAGACGGAGAAGTCACCAAGGGGGAAAGTGCTATAAAAGTGCACCCGAAATGTTAAAGGCGTTCACCTGGGAGATTATTTGAGCTAACCCTGGTTACAGCAGAATACACGCTGCTGTAAGCACAGTGACGTCTGGCCATCATGTCTACAGACGGGGAGTGGACAAGCAGGATTCGACTTCATGGCGGCAAAGATAATTCACTCATTCCACAATCCCCAAACGGTGGAAGAAAAGGCTTCCAAAGGTGCCAGGGGAAGAGTGGGGGTAGTAGGGGACGCTCTGCGTTCTGAAGGCGGCTGTAAGATTCAGCCCTAGGGCAGGAGCGGTGGAAACGGGCGAGTGGAGGCTGGACCGCTGAGGGGATGGCAGCTAAGGCCATCTTCGTGTCCCCTGGCGGTGGTGGCGGGCCGCAGTGGCAGAGAGCCGAGTCAGCTGGAGGGAAGCGCGAGGCGTCCCCAGCTCTCGGCGGCACCCGCGCTCCGGCGGTTCCAGCTGTCTCGCTCAAGCCGGCTGCCACGCGCCGCTGCCGTCTCCACCGCCGTCACCTGAGGCCTAACCAAAGGCTCTGGGAGAACGTCCCTACGGTGTGCAGACCGTGGCAGACTACAGCTAAAGGCCAAACCCTTCCAGGCTATTCACGTACCTGGAGAAACAGATTCCCCTTGCGGAGGGAAACGCAGAGGCCAAATCAGTTCTTGCTTTTACTTCTCAGCCACACAACGTGTTCCTACGGCCACTGGCCAAAATGGCGGTGCCCAGCCACCGCCTCACGCATGCCACAGGGAGGTAGTGCGCGTGCGCGACAGGGCGCGCTGGGCGGAGCCCTGAAGGGAGGTAAGGCGAGACGGCGGAGAGTGACGTCATTGTGCTGCGACCCCAATTGACGTTGTTGGGTAAGCAAGGCGTGCCTGGGAAGCTGAGTGGGAGTGGCGCGGAACTGCAGCGGTTCCTGAAAACCTGAGTGGCGGCAAGCCGGGTCTGCGAGCTGTAAGTGCGTGGGCTTTCCCCGAAGTGGAGAATGGTTCTAGCTTAAGCAGACGGGTTCTCTTCCCCAATGTCAATCTCGTTTTTCGCTCCCGATTTCCTCAAAGCTGGTGGGTCAGGAATGGATCCTTAGCCGCTGCCTATTCTCGCACTTCGGGCAGAGGTGTCAAGCAGAACCCACAGAGTCCGGTCCGGGCACTGCTCGTGGTGGCGTTCCCTCCTTGGCCTCAGCTCCTGAACGGTGTGGCCACGAACCCGTTCTTCTCCGAGTTCCGTGCGTTATCCACTTGGTGGCGTCCAGTATCAAGTTCGGCAGTTGAATTCTGCTCCAATAGTAGAGATGGGCCATTTTTTTGGACAATTTGACATTTTTGGATATTTGGCAATGTGGCCACAGGTTTAATCGTCTCATCCCAGACCTTACTTAACTTGCAGGTGGCAAATAGTTTACGATTGAAGCTATTCATTCATCCATTTATTCATTCAGTAAATTGCTAATGGAGCGTTTAAACCTCAGGCCTTTCCAAAGTTTACAGTCCAGTGTCTATTATGTATCAACCGCTTGTGTGGAGATTAGGGAACAACTGAGATCTGACTCAGGAGGTGTCAGGGAGATGGTATACAGACCTTTTGACACAGGTTTATAACAGCATTTACGTATAACGATGTTCAATAGCTGTAACTTTGCACTACCGAAGCAGTTTTACATGTTGTTCACAATCCACTATTTTTTTTTTTCACGTTTGGATATGCCCACCAAGATGAACAAAAGATGTAGTAAACTTGTGCTTTAGAATAGGCCAGTTATTCACTTCAAGACCTTAAAGGCATTTTTCTGACTTTATGTACTATGGTAAGAGCACATATAAATGGAGCTTTTGACAACTAATGAGAAGATGTGATTTTTCTCTGCATCACTTAACAGATTATTTAAAATGTAGACCAATATTTACATATTCCTGGAATAAGAGTATTTCAGTCTGACTCGTCTAGGGAAAAACTTCATTTGGATTGGAATTTTTACTCATAGAGGTATACAACTGCATAGCATTATAGGAGTATAGATCAAATCAACCCATTTGACAAGAAAGGAAATAAAGCCCAAGGCGAGGCTGAAGTTGACACCCTGATCCTGTGCCCTTTGACTACTGTAGTCTGCTGCTTTGCACAACTTGTAAGTTATAATATGTTATATTTTAGAAACAAAAACTGAATTCCCAAGAGTTTTTAATTACAGTGATTATGTCAACTGCTTTCGAGAAATAGATGATTAATATCCAGGATATATTAGTGATCGATTTGGCTATTAAATTTTTACCTTTACATTTTGTAGAAAGATGCTCAGGTCTGGGTATAATGTGGATACTTTTTTTTTCTACATAGAATATTTTTAAAATGACCACACCAAACAAGACACCTCCCGGTGCTGACCCTAAGCAGTTGGAAAGGACTGGAACAGTACGGGAAATTGGGTCACAAGCTGTTTGGTCACTCTCATCTTGCAAACCAGGTAAAACAAAACAAAACAAAAATGCTGTTCATAATAACTGCTGAAAGTTTTCTTGTGCACTGGACTAACTTTAATATTCTTTCTTTAATTCTAAAATAAATCTAATTGGATTTTCATTTGTTATATATCTTCTCAATTGCTTTACTAGTATCTGCTTCAGTTTAACTGCACATGTCTCATAAGGTCTCTCCCTCTTTTTTTTTTTTTAATATTTATTTATTTACTTAGGCTGCGCTGGGTCTTAGTTGCAGTACAGTGATTGCTTTGGCACTCGGTATCTTTAGTTGTGGCATGCAGACTTAGTTGCAGTATGCGGACTCTTCAGTTACAGCATGCATGTAGCATCTAGTTCCCTGACCAGGGATTGAACCTGGGCCCCCTGCATTGGGACCATAGAGTCTTACCCACTGGACCAGCAGAGAAGTCCCTCATAAATTCTCTTTTTACCCTCTCTCTGGTATTATTCAGTTATTTGGTTAGCTTTTTTTTTTTTTTTTGCTATTTCTATGGATAGGATAAGTGGTTGATACATTTTTTGAGTGATTACATATACCCAAATAACTTTATTTTACTCTTGGTTGGGATAGAATTCTTGGGTGGCAGTCCTTTTCTCTCAAAAATTTGTGGATTCTGTTTTACCATTTTCTTTTTTGTCATGTTGCAACTAAGAAGGCTATGCCTGTCTCTCACTTTCTAAATAACTTGTTCTTTCTTTCTGGCAGCATTTAAGCTTTTTCTGTTTATTCTTAGACTTCAAGAGTTTTGCCAGGATGTACCAGGATACATGTGTACCTTTTCTCATCTGTCTAACCTATAATTTGATGGGTATTTTCAGTCTGTAGAATCAAGCTCAGAGAAAGTTTTTTAGCTTGAGTAATTTTAATGATAATGTTATTGATTTGGTAGTCACTTTTCCCTCAGAAACTTCTACTATTTACACGTTGTCTCCTGTAGTGTCTTCCCACTCAGGCCTCTTCTGTTTCCCCTTAAGATTCTTTTCTCTCTCTTTTTATGAGTAGCTGGGGATATACAGAAAAACTCACCCTTTTTGTGTTTATAGTTCTATGAATTATTTTGTTTTTAATTTAAAAAAATTAATTAATTAGGGCTTCGCCTGGTGGCGCAGTGGTTGAGAGTCCACCTGCCAATGCAGGGGACACGGGTTCGTGCCCCGGTCCGGGAAGATCCCACATGCCGTGGAGCGGCTGGGCCCATGAGCCATGGCCGCTGAGCCTGCGCGTCCGGAGCCTGTGCTCCACAACGGGAGAGGCCACAACAGTGAGAGGCCCGCGTATCACCAAAAAAAATAATAATTATTATTTATTTATTTATTTATTTATTTATTATTTTGGCCGCACCACGTGGCATGTGGGATCTTAGTTCCCTGAACCCAAGCCCCCTGCAGTGGAAGTATGGAGTCTTAACCACTGGACTGCCAGGGAAGTCCCATAGTTCTATGAATTTTAACAAACACATCACAAATATAGAATATTTCTATCATTCAAAGAAATTTCCTCATGTCCCTTTGTAGTCAGTCTTCTGCCCCCTCCTAAACCCCTGACAACCTCTGATCCATTTTGTGTCCCTTTGGTTTTGCCTTTTTCAGAATGCCATATAAACGTAATCATACTTTATGTAACTCTTAGGGTCCAGCTTCTTTCACTTAGCATAATGCATTTGTGATTGTTCTATCAGGAGTTGGTTCCTTTTTATTGCTGATTACTATTCTGCTGTACAGATGTGCCACAATTTGTCTACCTATTCACCAGTTAATGGACATTTAGGTTTACGGTAGCAGCTTCCCAGATGGTCCCAGTGATCCTTGTTTCCTGGTATTCGTACCCTTCTGATTACCTCTGTCACATTGTGTCTGGGTTAGTCTCTGGGATGAGGAGAATATGGCAGAAATGATGGCATGTGACTTCTGAGACTAGATCATAAAAGACATTGTGGCTCTGCCTTGCTGTTATTTGGATCACAGACTCTAGGGGAAGCCAGCTGCCATTTTGTGAGGAAACAAGGGGACCTGTGGAGAGGTTGGTGTGGCAAAGAAACGGGGCCTTCTGACAATAGCCAGGGGGAACTGAGGCTTTTTGTCAACAGTCAAATGAGTAAGCTACCTTAGAATGGATTCTCCAGCTCTAGTCAAGCTTTTAGATAATTACTTCAGATAACTTGACCGCAAACTCATGAGAGTCCCAGAGCCAAGCTGCCCAACCAAGCTGGTCCCAAATTCCTATCCCATAGAAATTGTGAAGTAATGCATGTTTGGTGTTTTAAGGTGCTATGTTAACTAAGATAAGGTTGCTTCCAATATTTGGTGATTATGGATGAAGCTGCTATAAACATTCATGTAGTGGTTTTCTTGTGGACATATATTTTCATTTTTCTTGAGTAAATACTTACGAGTAGAATTGCTGGGTTCTATTGTTTTTATTTCTTCCTTTGCATTAGCTAAGACTTCCAACATGATGTTGCTTAGGAGTGGCAAAAAGGGATATCCTTGCCTTATTCCTGATCATAGTGGGAAAACTTCTATTTTCTCACTATTATATATGATGTTAGCTGTTGTTTTTTTGTAGATAATATAAAGTTGAAGAAGTTCCATTATAGTTCTAGTTTGCTAATAGATTTTGTCTTGAATGGATGTTGGATTTGTCAAATGTTTTCTCAACATCTAATGATATGATCATGTGGTTTTTCTCCTTTAGCCTATTGTTTGTTTTGATGGATTACATTAGTTAATTTCAGAATGTTGAACCAGCTGTACATACCTGGAATAAATTCCAATTGATTGTGGTAAATAATTCTTTTTATACATGGATTCAATTTGCTAATATTTTCTTGACAATTTTTGCATCTGTGTTCATGAGAGATATTGTTCTTTAATTTACCTTTCTTGTGATGTCTTTGTCTGATTTTGTTATTAGGGTAATGCTGCCCTTATAGAGTCAGTTAGAAAGTATTCCCTCTGATTCTATTTTCTAGAAGAGATTATGCAGACTAGGTATTATTTCTTCCTTGAAAGTTTGACATAAGTCACCAGTGAAACCATCTAGGCCTGGTGATTGCTTTTGGAAGGGTATTAATTTTTTATTCAATTTTTGTAATAGATATAGTCTTATTCAGATTATCTGTTTCTTCTTGTGTGAGTTTTGGTAGATTGTGTCTTTCAAGGAATTGGTCCATTTTATTTATCAAATTTGTGGGCATGAAGTCTATAATACTCCTTTATTATCCTTTTTATTGTCCATGGGATCAGTCGTGATGGCCCCTCTTTCATTTTTTATATTAGTAATTTGTGTCTTCTTTCTTGTTTTCTTGGTTAGCCTGGTTAGAGGTTTATTGATTTTATTGACCTTTTCAAAGAACCAGCTTGTGGTATTGGTAATTTTTCTCTATTAATTTGCTGTTTTTAGTTTCATTGATTTCTTCTCTGATTTTTATTATTTCTTTCTTCTGCTTATTTTGGACTTAATTTGCTTTTCTTTTTCTAGTTTTCTAAGGTGAATGCTTAGATTATTGACTTTAGAGCTTTCTTCTTTTCTAATATATATGCAGTTCATGTTATAAATGCTAAATTTCAGAAAGCAGTGCTTTCTGTTAATGATTTCTAGTTTAATTCTGCTGTGGTCTGGGAGCACACTTTGTGTGATTTCTATTCTTTTAAATGTTTTTATTGTGTTTTATAGCCCAAAATGTGGTCCATTTTCGTTAATGTTGCATGTGAACTTGAGAAGAATTGTGTATTCTGCTGTCATTGGATGAAGTAATCTATAAATATCAGTTTGATCTAGCTGATTGACTGTGCTGTTCAGTTCAACCATATACTTGCTGATTTTCTGCCTGATGGGTAAAGGTTAAGATTCAGAGGCTAAAATTTCTTTAGTGTCTTTGTTTTTGTCTCCTTGTTATCTTTGGATTTCCCTAGAGACTCCTTAAATGGCATCTAAACTTGCAGTTTTTTGAATTTAACCTCCTGATATTATGTTGGAGCCCTGTTGATATTGGTGGTAAGTTATGGGGGGAATGGAAGTATTCTATAATCCTTTGATTAGATCTCAGTCTTTCAGTGGGCCTGTGTTCATGGCTGTGACCTTACAAGCACTTCTCAACTTTTCTTTCCCCACCTAGATGAGACAGGAAGGCTAGAGGGGGATGGAGTTGGGTATTTTCCCTCCCCCGTGTCAGGCTCTGGTAAAACCCATGTTGCTTAGGTTCTGCTAAAACAGTTTTCCTTTAAGTCAGGCCTTTGTTAAAGGGGAAGAAAATGCTTTTGGTTTATTTCATAAAGATTACTTTCCCCCTCTATCTGCAGGAAGCACTGGAGAATTTTCTCTGATCTTTACCCTGAAGAGAACCTGGTGGGGCTCCTAGAGGTAAAACTCATGAAAATGTGGAGTCCTCTCTAAGGCTGGGCTTCCAGGAGCTTTTAATCTCTCAAGCTAGTCTGTACTCAGTCTCTAGCAATTAGTGAATGAACAATTACTCAATTACTCTTTAAGTTTTCCTGCCAGTTGCTAACTCCAGTGGTGGTTTCTGCTCCTGGTAAGATGTGATTCTCTGTTTTCTGTTCTCTTCAGTTTTTTTTTTTGTTTGTTTTGTTTTTTTGTGTTTTTTTTTGCGATATGTGGGCCTCTCACTGTCGTGGCCTTTCCCGTTGCCGGACGCGCAAGCTCAGCGGCCACGGCTCACGGGCCCAGCCGCTCCGTGGCACGTGGGATCCTCCCGGACCGGGGCACGAACCCGTATCCCCTGCATCGGCAGGCGGACTCTCAACCACCGCGCCACCAGGGAGGCCCCTCTTCAGTTTTTTGGGTGGTGGTTTGCCCTGTGACCTCTTTGGGACCTAAGAAAAATTATTGGTTTTCAGTTAGTTCAGCTTTTTTGTTGTTGTTGTGAGGATGAGAGTGACATTGTCCAAGCTCTTTACATGTAACATCGGAAACTAGAAGTTCTTCCTTTTACTTTTAAACTGTATATATCTTTTTATTTGAAGT